ATGGGAATTTTTCTGTAACTGGTTGTTTTATTTTAACTTTCAAATAAATATTTCACATGTTTTCACTTTTAAATTTAGTTGCTTTTATACCTCTTGGACAAGCCATCTAAATAAAATGGTTGTACATTGTTTAATGTTGTATTACTTAAAGCGTACAATAGGATAAAATAGTGTTTAAATGGGTTTTGAAAAAAATAATTATGTACATACATTATTATCACCTTTTAAAACAACCCCGCATTACAGTTATATATAGCATTTGCAATTTTATTATTTATGGAATCTCAAGATCTTTCAGATAACCTTTAAAGATGACAAGACCTTCATTTTCATTAAATTAACTAGTAATGGCCGATTCCAGAATTACTCGTTTCCAATACAGATTTAGTCGGAGAAATATAGGATATGACCTTAAAAAAATTGCAAGAAAACGTTTTATGGTTTTATTTTGTAGAGTTGGGTTTGCAGAATGACATACTAAAAGTTGCCAAAAATCGGTGAACGAGAAAACAACTAAAATCAGAATTTAAAATGGCGGCTTTTTCCAACATTGGACAAACTAAAAAAAACATATTTCACATGCATTTGTTATGCACATTTTTCGAGATATTGACTTGGGACTACCGCCTGTATTTATTGGGTGGTTAGTACTTCATTTTGATAGGGAACATGTTTTTGGCCGCCATCTTGGACCCGCCATATTGGACATAAATTATTTGTTTTCAATGTAATGATAGTGTTGTGACACATCATTACCAACTACATTTTTACACTGATTTCAATGCCGAAATCCGTTTTTAATAGCGATGGGCCGATTCCGATTCTCGATACCTCGATACCTTCGATACCAGTGGTATCGAGGAATCGCCGATACTCGATACTTCGTTTCATTGTACTGGATACCGATTCTGAAAAGTGAGGTTAATTAATAATGCTAAACTCAACTGACATTTAAGGTTGTAAAGAGTGGCACATCATAGTTTATTTGAAATACTCTGAAGTCAGCTAATATAAATAATTCCAAGTTCATTATCTAACATTCGTAATAGTTTTAAATTCCAAAATAGATTGCCATTGCATATCAGAACGAGTAGCAATGGGTATGACGAGTAGCAATGGGTATGACGAGCTGTGTTCAGTTCCAGTTGACAACAGTGACAAGAAGACAACTACGCCTAACAGAACTGTATTTGCCGTCATGTTGTCAGATCAAAGGCAATGTTGCCAGATGGTACAAGCATTTAATATATACATATAATACACATAAGGTGTATATAGTCAATGGTTTAACTCATGTTTTCTAACTCCAAATTGTGGCATAGCTTATAATTTTTTGTGAAAATGTGGCATAGCTTATAACTGATTATAAGCTATGGAACAAATTCACGATTATAAGCTATGACATTATAAGATATGAGACTCCACGAACTGTTCAGCTAATTCAGGGCTTCATGGTGACTATTGTAGAAAGCCATTTGGCGATGTATTTTTATCGTTTTTTTATGTTGTTTCTCTATGACTGAACTGAAACAGCTGTCATGAGTTTGCAAATGGCAAATGAATTGTTTAACGTTTAACCTATGTTTTGGTTTTTTGTTGTTTGTTTTCTGTGCGTGCATAGTGAGTTTGAGTTGTTCAAAATGGATATGATCTCCGACTCCGTGACAAACTCCATGACTTTTTTATATGATTCTTTAAGTAATTTAAGTGATATTGATGGTGACAATATTGAAGATGACTTTGAGTTTATAACTCAAGCAATATGGAACATTCATTGTAGGCCTAGATGTACGAATTATGAATTCTTATGAAAAAAAAACTCTGAACATTTTAGGCCTACCTAAATTGGTGATTGTGCTCAATTAATTATTATTATCAATTAATTATTAATTTAATAAAATATGTTAAAATTCATGTCTTCTTGAAATAGCCCCATCTTATTTTTCCTTTTTGGCTAACCTAATCTATTTAACCTTAATCAATACAATGCAGTTATCTTATTGTATAAAGATTAAATAAAGTTATATCATAAGTTCATAAGTTATATGTGTTATTAAATTAATTTTTAACAGGTATCGGTATCGAGTGCGGAATCGAGAATCGAAACCAAAGTTGTAGAATTGGAATCGGTATCGGAATCGACCAATTCAGGAATCGGCCCATCTCTAGTTTTTAAATATCTTTATTCATTTAGAAGATATATTCAAACGAATACTCTCCACCATACATTTCTTATGGACCTTTCGTAGTTTGATAATTTTTTTAAAACTATTTTTCTTATATCTCCAGTTCTTATTGACGCTTGTAGTTCGTTCTAGGCTTAAAATATTCAATAATGTAAGGGCTTTCATTTAAGCTCTTGATCATTAAAATCAGACGAGTTAAAGACCAGCTACGAACCTCAGAATAATATTAAATTTAACTTTTTAGAAATATATTTTTATTAAAAGATTTATAACTCGGGTTGTTAATACGTCACAAAGTTATTTCTGGTCTCAAATTACTTGGTAAATGTTTGGCTTTAATTTTATTGATCATTAAACAAAATCTGACAATTTTAAAATGAGTCATGGGCCATAATTTAACATTAAAATGTATTTATATTCAAATTTGTCTTTAGTTAAAGACGTATATCCCCAATTCTAAATAACTCCCAAAACTCTTTATAGTCTTAAATAATTCGCCAAATTATTGACTTTTATTTTAGCTATGGATTACTTTCCGGGAGTTATTAGGGTTTGGGATATATGTCCTTAACTAAAGAAAATTTTTAAAACAAATACATTTTAATGTTAAATTAAGAACCATGACTCATTTTAAAATTGTCAGATTTTGTTTAGTGATTAATAAAATCAAAGCTAAACATTCACTGAGTAATTTGAGACCAGAAATAACTTTAAGACGGATTAACAACCCGAGTTATAAATCTTTTAATAAAAATATATTTCTAAAAAGTTAAATTTAATATTGTTCTGAGGTTCGTAGCTGGTCTTTAACTCGTCTGATTTTAATGATCAAGAGCTTAAATGAAAGCCCTTACATTATTGAATATTTTAAGCCTAGAACGAACTACAAGCGTCAATAAGAACTGGAGATATAAGAAAAATAGTTTTAAAAAAATTATCAAACTACGAAAGGTCCATAAGAAATGTATGGTGGAGAGTATTCGTTTGAATATATCTTCTAAATGAATAAAGATATTTAAAAACGGATTTCGGCATTGAAATCGGTGTAAAAATGTAGTTGGTAATGATGTGTCACAACACTATCATTACATTGAAAACAAATTATCTATGTCCAATATGGCGGATCCAAGATGGCGGCCAAAAACATGTTCCCTATCAAAATGAAGTACTAACCACCCAATAAATACAGGCGGTAGTCCCAAGTCAATATCTCGAAAAATGTGCATAACAAATGCATGTGAAATATGTTTTTTTTTTTATTTGTCCAATGTTGGAAATAGCCGCCATTTTAAATTGTGATTTTAGTGGTTTTCTCGTTCACCGATTTTTGGCAACTTTTAGTATGTCATTCTGCAAACCCAACTCTACAAAATAAAACCATAAAACGTTTTCTTGCAATTTTTTTAACGATTCCTATGTAAGTTTGTTTAGTTTTCTTGGACTAATTCTGAGACAGATCAACTTAATATATCAATTTTACCATAATGACTAAAAGAGAACTATGAAATATTTATAAAAAATAGCAGTTAAGTCCATTGATTAATAACATATGTTATAAGACTGGAAGAAAAATAAAATAGATCAATTCTTATTTTTTTTAATTTGTATAAAGCTACAAATTGCCAGATCTGGTATATAAAAAGCCTCTAAACAATGATTAGTTTAAATTGGTAATAAATTTAAATTACTTCGTTTGAAATATATGACTGTGTATTGTCAATGGCCTAACCTACTTCAGTGTTGCTACTGGAAATGGGAAATTTCACTTTCTAGCAATAGCAAAGTTTCACTAAATTTAATTACATGCTTTATGTTACTCTAAAGATTAGAAATTCCACGTGTCTTTTTTGCATAAACTCTATTCCATAAGTTTATTGTTTCATAGTTAGAGTAAAAATCACCTTTCAGTAATGTGTGCTAATAAGTTATTTTGGTTTCAAAATTTACTTACTCAGGCTTAAACTTGTCCACTAATTACTGACAATTGCTTTTACACTCGCAGATATTTAACTAAATACATAAATGCCACAGCAAACCTGCAGACTAAGCGAACTTCCATTTGCCTGAATTGATATTCAATTAAATCTATTTAAATAACCATAGGTTAAACGAGTACCCAAGTTTGCTGCTACAGGGAGTTTTTAGTGTGTTTTTTTAGTAAAATATTAATAGCTTTGTATAAAGTAAATAAATTTGCCAAGATTGATCAAAATATATACATAAACAAGCAAACTACAACATTTTACAATAATTCCCCATAAGAATAACAAGGGAATTTTAAATTTACAATTTTTAAAATGTTCTCTTTAACCAATAACCGCACAAAAACACTTCAATATACTAAATTATTTGTCTTTTTAAGCTCTTTAAAATTGTCTAGAGATAAATTGGGAAATTTTGTGTTTTGATGGTCAAAAATGAGAAACCCCAATTTTTACCCCATAAAACCCCTGTAATACCCCATTTCCAAAATCCGATCATGCTGGTTCACTAATTCATTCAAGTTTATCCCGCCTTACACCTTCAAACAAAATTTCATCAAAATCAAACAAAAATTACTTAAATTATCACGTTCACGGACACACACACATATAATATTTTAATGTAATAAAATTTGAATGAATAATGTTTTTGGCCTATGGGGACATCAAAATGTAAGAGTAAATCGGTCTTGGGCTCAAGTCTTACCACGTGACCTACGGTAATAGCTACTTCCCTATAGGGAAATTCGCTAAAACCAATGTTTGTATAGGCGGACTACTGCAGTTTAACTATAGTGGATGATGTTAAGTTGTTATGATGTTTTTGTTTCAGCTGGATCCCTGGGCACTGTAAAAGTAGAGGGAGCCAATGCTGATGTGAAGGAGGAGAAGGCTGACAATTCTGATGTAGAGATGCTCTCTGAACCTGAGGTGACGCCTGTAGGACAGGAATACATCGAAGAAATAACCAATGATGACGGTGGGTCAAACAAATAGTATAACTTAACGAAAAAATATAAATTTGGTTTTTTTATTTTTTACTTCAATTAAATATATGTATTCCAGCAGTTATAATTACATTACCCTATTTGTTTTGGTCTAAAAACCTTTAATACCAGCTTTCATTTGAGCTATTGATTATTAAGATTCCGATCTTAATAATCCTACCACACTGCTGAATCACGAATCAACAATAATTTTTAATCGTTTTAGTACTTATCTGCAATTAATGATACGTAACTCAAATTTTATTTAAAAGTTATTTTATATGTCTTGGTCTTAAAATACTTCAAAGGCTTTCACTTGAGATATTGATAGTTTTAATCAGTTAAGTAAAAGATACACTGTATCGCTCAATCAGAAAACATAAATTTAATTATATCTTGGATATGGAATTTAGTTTTAGATATATTTAATTAATTCTAATTACGTTATTCTATTTGATTTGACCTAAGAACCTTCAGTGAAATACCAGCTTTCATTTGAATTATGATTATTAAGATCGGACGTGCCTAAAGCACACTGCTAAATCAAGAACAACTTAAATTTTTAAAAAAAATTGAGTTATTTATCGATTTATAGTCAAACGGTTTTGCTTGCAACCTCAACAGCAACTGTCAGACTTTGACGGGTTTCACCTAGTAAATCTTTAAAAAATCAAACTTTCATTACTATTTGCAAATCCACACGAATTAGGCTTTCTAATGACCTATTAATTAATAAAATCGGTCCAGTAGAACTGTAGATTTAATTGTACAAAGATTAAAACCAAATCTTTAGTTCAGTATTTTCTCACCATTATAAATTTGGAGGTTGCTTGACGTTTTTGCAAATAAATTTGGAATGGTAAGGAAATCGACCAAAGTGGAAGATGATATTCTGATAGATAATAAAATTTCCTACAAATTACTACGGTACCTATTTTTTTTTTTTTTTTTTTTTTTTTTAAATAGCCTACTCAATAAAGACAGGCTTAAGTTGTCTACAAATATAAAATGGGAAATATAAACTTGGAAAAAGGCATTTTAAATGTAATATTGTTTATTTTTATTGTTTCACCTCAAATATGTAATAAAATCAAGCATTCATAATTATTTGCAAATCTACATGAATTAGGCTTTCCAACCCCATTAGTACCTATTAAGTAACATAATCGGTCCGGTAGAAGTCTAGATTTAGTTGTACAAAGTTTAAAAAAAATATATCTAATTCAGTATTTTCTCACCGCTATAAATTTGGAGATCACTTAGATTATTGTCAATAACTTTTAAATGGAGGCGAAATCGACCAAAGTGGGTGTGATATTCCGAAAGAGAATAAAATTTATTACAAATAACTACTATGCATTTCATGAAAATGCTTAATAAAGGCAGCCAAAAGCTGGCTACAAATATAAACTTGAAAACAGAAACTTGAAAAAAACTGTTTTTAATGTATTTTTGTTTTGAGTACTGTATTTAATTTCATATAACTTTGTTCATTTAAGTACAATAGGTACAATACGTAAATACAGGAATGGCGTCAAGTGTAATCTTGCCTTATATTAAATTACTAATATAAGGCAAGATTACACTTAAGATAAATATAGAATAGATAGCAAAGAATATTGAAACATTTGGCGTGATTAATAAAACATTGTCAAAGCTTCCATTGGCAAATTGATACAGCCTAAAAATGATTTTCTTTTCAGGAAAAGTAATATCTTTCAACTGCAAACTCTGTGAATGTCGTTTCAATGACCCCAATGCCAAAGAAATGCACATGAAAGGTAGGTGTTTCAAGCCAAATACTATTATTTATTGATTTGATAGTTATGATTATTTTGTATTCATTTGAATTTGCATTTTTCCTTTATGTTTTTAATGTTGGCTAAATCTTAATTTATAATTTCCTTCTATTTAAAAATCTCACATATTTTGATAACATTTTCGTACCGTAGTTAATTTACTGTCCTGACCCTTTCAAGGTAGACATTCCGCGTTCCAATGGCTAACTTTTTGTAACTATAGAGCACAATAATATATTCAACTCGCAACAATACTTGTCAACAGATGTTAAATATTTTAATGAGTTCGTTATTGAACTTTATTGTAGAAATTTCTAGTGTTCGTCTGTATGGAAATGTTTGTTAAGTAAATTAATAGTGATGGGTCAGTACCACTTTTTCAAAGTCGGTTCCGGTACCGGTTCCTAGGCAAAATCGGTTCTCGGTTTTGGTAACATTGGTACGTTATTTACAATTTTGGAGATATGCTACTTAATTTTTTTAATTATTTAATTATTTTTTAATTATGCATATTTCATTATTTTTTTTTAGTATTTTGCATCAGTTGCATAGGTTGTTCATACTTAGAGAATTACAAAAATAAAACTTATTTGTAAAAAGGCCATGTAAAAGTTATCATTGTATCCTGCGATCGTGGCTTAAATCATCAGGGCTGTGCGAATCCAGAAATTTTGGTTCGAATCCAAATCCGAATCATAGCTGTACAGATTTTATCGAATCCGAATATTTTAATTAATCCCGAGTCGAATCTGGGTCGAATCCGAATCTCAAATTTACAGCCATTATCGAACCCGGATCGAATCCGAATCTGAAATTTAAAGCTGTTATCGAATCCGAATATTTAAACCTGTTCAGAATCAAATCCGAATCCGAGGAAAGTCAGCAGTACCAATTTTCACATTTTTAGACCACATTTTCTGGGGCTGAAATAACTTAGGGAATTTCTTAAAAAAATTCTTGAAATGGGCCAAATAAAAAAGTTATAAAATTTAGGCCTACCTATTTGAAGTTTTGAAACTAAAAAATTGGGCATTAGTTAGGCCTACCACCTAGGCCTAAGTTACTCGCTAAAAGTGATGGACTACCAATTTGTGTAGTCTAAAACATAGGCCCAGCCTATTATACACCTCGGTGTTAATCCTCCAAACAAGCCTATGTCTGCATTACTATTACAAGTAACAACTAACACTGTGAGGTTAAGTTTACTGATAGCCAAGATAGGGTTCAAATGCGATGCGACCTACACTAATGTGCCTAAAGCCTAACACCAAGTTGGTCAGGTTCCTAACATGAACCAGTCAACAGCAAATCGGAGTGCACAAGTAGTTTTTTAGTGTCTAAAAAATTATATTGAAAATTATATTCAATCAGAATCTAGTAAATTTGAATATCGAATCCCAACTCGGATCTATTTCCAAGAAATTCGAATATCGAATCCGAACCCGGATCTCTTACCAGTAAATTCGAATATCGATTCCGAATCCGAATCCAGTTAGAAACAGTAGATTCGTTCTCGAATCCGAATCGAATCTCTAAAAAGATTCGGATTTGATTCGTTTTTCGAACTATTCGCACAGCCCTGTAAATCATGAACATCTCCTGCGGTTACGGAAACGTCTTCGTCATCGTCCACGATTGCGGCAAAATCATTAACACCTCTTTCATCCTTGTAGACTCATAGTCTTCCACAATCCCAGCTTAGTCATGAATACCTCCTGCGGTTACGGAAACATCTTCATCGTCGTCTACAACAGCGGCAAAATCATGAACATCTCTTGCCGCCGTGTAGACCTTATCATTGTCTTCCGTGATAGCGGCAAAATCATGAACATCTGCCTCGTTCACGGAATCATCGTCATTGGCCCCAATCGCGGCAAAATCATGAACATCTCTCGCAGCCGTGTATACGTCATAATAGTATTAATCGATCGCGGCTTAATCATGATCATCTGCCTCGTTCACAGAATCGTTGTCATTGTCTGCGATCGCGGCAAAATCATGGTCATCTCCCGTGGTCGTGTACATCATTATTGACTCCGCGGCAAAATCGGTAACTTTCCGGCATTATCGGTGACAGGATGCTGTACTGAAGGTACCGGTACCAAGATTTACCATAGTTTCTCGGTTCTCGTTCTTTTGCCAAGAACCGGCGGAACCGACATTTGTCGTGACGTTCTGACCCATTACTATAAATTAAGAAAGAATAGGGGAAGGCTAGCAAAGAGAAATTGGCTTTACAACTTCATAAAACGTTGCAAAATTGAAAATTAAGATGATTAGCACATAAAACAAATAAGGTGTATGGTTTAATAGGTTAGGTTTACTAGAGCTACAAATTAATAGTTTTATTTTAACATGTTTAATTTAGACTTATTCTAAATGTGATGTATAAAAACTAATCCCTTCACACTTGTGTATATCATACGACTAGAGCGTAAAGTAAAGTAATGACAATGAAATTTTGTTGTCTACAAACCCTTCAATTTGGCATTTTAAACTGCATTATATAGCTGAAAATCGGCATATCATATAGTATTCAGTGTGTGTTTGCAGTTTTTACTAACTTCTTTGGCATTTTATGTTTACACTATATTTCTAATAGTAGATTTTATCAGTGGAATTCATTAGTTTTGAACAAAAATATAGTTTTTAGGCCTAGCACAAAACTGTACGATGCGTCAAATGGCTTAGTTGGGCAGAGGAACTCCTATGTCAAATATAGGCTAATAAACTATAAAAGATTAAATAACTTTTATAACATCAAGTCTCATCCAATGGCTCAGCTTTAAAAATGACAATACTATAATAATAGATGGACTACAATTAATTTTCAAATGCAGATTTTTATTTTGATATTTTTTTTTGCTGTCTGTAATATGTGTTTATTTTATGCATACCATGGTTTGCGATAACTTGAGCGACAAGGTTGTGCGCAAAATGTTGTAAGAATAGAAACTTTAAAACGAAAAGAGATATCACAACCAAATTTGGCATATCATTACTGGTAATAGTAAGCAACTTTTTTGTGTACATGGTGATCGGATATCACCTATAGGGGGCCGCCCATGGGGAGTGAGTTGAAAATCTTTAAGTAAGCATAGGTTGATATGTACTACATCAAATTAAAGGTCTTGTTGAACTAAAATAAAAAAAAAAAACTCCAAACTGGACCTCAAATGGACAATTGAGTCAAAATTACCTTAAATTTTCTGTATTGCACACCGCTAAATAATGTTAGTGACTGTTCTTTCCCTTTGAAATATGTTTCCTTATAATATCAAATGGTTTATCGTTCAGGACGAAGACATCGTTTGCAGTTTAAGAAGAAAGTCAACCCGGAACTTGTAGTGGACATAAAGAGTAACAACCGCAATAGGAAAATACATGAGGAGAGGATTAGAGCTAGACTGGCCATGATGAGGAAACGAGAAGAAGAAAGGTTAGTTTTCAGACATTTAATCATATATTGTTATTTATTTTCTACACTAAGTTATTATAAAAGGGTGTCCCACAAAGAGGTTGCTATTTTGGAAATAATATACCAGACTTATTGAATAAGCTACAAACTTAAACACTCTAAAAGTTAATATAAATGCGTATGTAAAATACATTTGTAAATATGTTTGCTGCTACAGTGAAGTTAATAGCTTAGTATGAAATAGATACATTTGGTAAATTTAATCACAATATATTCATAAAAAATCAAACTGCAAATTATATTTACTCCTCATAATATTAACATTAAAATTTAAAATTATTTTTCAAAATTTTCTCTGTAACTACATATTAGACGTACAGCTACACTTCAATATAATAAATAGTGTTGTGTATATACCAACATTTATTGATTCTTGATACCGATACCTGAAAAATCGATTCTCGATACTAATACAAATTTTTTTAAATTGTTACAAGATTTTCTGAATGGATTGGTTATACACTATTTCCTGTCTTTCTGACTTTCCATCAAGTATCCTGAGAAAATGGGGTGTTTCAAGTATAGTTATTTGTGCAACTAGTGAGCAAAGGGAGCAATTGACTCACTCGAGAGAAATACTTACAAATCTCGAGGTTTTCTCAGAGTGAGGCAATTGCACTTTGCACTCGAGTTGCACATTATATTTTTCCTACAGTTACTGTACCATAAAACAAATAAATTGGTAAAGAAACATAACATATTTTTACACAGAAGTGAACTTTTAATATGACATTTAATGTGAAGTAACAAATACAACAATACAACAGCTGACCAGCTGATTTACAGCCAGTGCTGCCAACGTATTTCGCGCGCATACGACCTTGTCTGCATGTTACGCGCTCACTATTTTGTGCCTTCACGTTGCAAATCTGGAGTGAGACAAAGTAATTAGAGTGAGACAATGTTAACATTGTCTCACTGATGAGCGAATTGGCCACTTTGATTTCTCAAATCAGTGAGAGAACATGTACATTGTTAGGTAACTGTAGGAAAAAGAATAAGTTAATACAGTATTGAAAAAATCTAACAAGCCAATTTTAGTTTCATCCCCTCAAAACACAGTAAATAAGGACCATATTTAAAACACATTCTACTAATTGTGATGGAAAATGTGAAAATAATCTGTTAGATAATGCTTCTAGTGTTTTTGCTAAGTTGGCTGTTATGTTTGACAGAGCCAACTTCTGGACAGACCGCATGATGGAGGCTGAGGAGCGTATGTACTGGGAGGAGAGGAGAAGATATGAGGAAGAGATGGACTACTATGAGTGGTACCGTCGGTCTATGCCTCACCCACGGGGCATGCCTCCCCCTCCCCCACCACCTGGCCACCCCTATGGGCCACCACCACCACCCATGATGCCTCCACCTCCTCCGTCCGTAAGTCAAAAGAATAACTGATACACAACTAAATCCCTAAATAAAAGAGTTCTTGCCATAGTTTATAACTATGGCAAGAACTATGTGCCATGTTTTTAACAGGGTGATGACTAAGACATAAATAGTGATGCACGTTTTTATATTCATAGTTAGTTATTGGGACCGGGGAGGGATCTATATGTATATAATTCGAAACAAGTTTTGTATTTGGGAGTGATTAAATAAGTTACATATTAGTATTTTTTCTAACATTTCTTGATTTTGATTAGTCGATATCGCCTTACTGTATACCTGAAAACAGTGTAATATAAAAAAAAGCAAAAAAGGTATATGGAAAAGCAGGGTGTTCAAGAAAGTCAGGGAAAGTCATGGAAAAAAATTCTGGTCATTGAAATTCATGGAAATAGGCAAAAAGTCATGGAAATCTTCAATGGTGGATAGATTTGTCAGGACTTTTCAAAGCTCTAGTCGGCTGTAACCTGACTATTGTAGCTATTTTCAGGATTTTTCTGTTTTTCACAAATGCATGACAATTTAATTTATTACAGTTGTATAGGTTTATGAGATTTGAGTTTGTAATAGTTCAATACAATCTGTTCCTACTATATGTTATATATAATTTTCTAGTAAGTAATAGTTCAATACAATCTGTTCCTACTATATGTTATATATAATTTTCTAGTAAAGTTTGTGAGTCATGGAAATCAATGGTAAATGGTCATGGAAATTAATGACAAATTTTCTGTGGACACCCTGAAAAGTCAGGGAATTTTATTTTCCAAATTTAGGACCCAACCCTGTTTATACTTGCATTTTTAAAACCTTATGTAATAATTATCCTGAACAAGTATAATTATTATACTTGTTCAGGATTATTATTATGCATATATAGTGCTCTTTATGTATCTTGTTTTATCTCCACATATTTATGATATTTTTTGATAATATTTTTAGAACACCTACAGTGCAAGTGCAACTACTTTATTAATATTGTTACACTGGGTTTGTTCGTTCCAGAACTTTTACCCTCCCGGCCCTCCCCAAGGTGTGATGAGAAGGCCAGAGAGTTTTGATGACAAACACATAATTGCCAGGCACGCATCCATCTATCCCAAAGAAACTGAACTTCTGGCTGTGCAGAAAATTGTCTCTCACACAGAAAAAGCTCTCAAGTTTGTCTCAGATCATCTTGTTTCTGATGCAGAAAAGAAAACTACACAGCCTAGTAAGTAAATCAGTTTTATTTTCTCTTTTTTGTGTTTTTTTACTTAGTAAATTAGTCGAGAATAGGATAGGATATAATAATTGGGGAGAAATATAATTGTTAGCCTTTAGTTATTATTTTGATGGCCTTATATATACTAATAGCTCTCCAGAAGCAATCCCCTACTGACAACATGGTTGACACTGTAAACCACAGTGGATTCTAATGATACTGGCCATAAAAGGATTTTGTCATTGATAATTAGGGATGGACGGGTCCCGAAATTTCGGGAATTAAATATTCCCGATTATCGGGACGGGATTACATTTGATTCGGGAATTTTTCGGGACGGGATTTGGTCCGATCGTCGGCGATTTTGCCGCGTCGCGAGTGCCGATAACGCCGCTATTGCGAGCGATAGGTCCCCGAACACCGGAGACGAAGACATTTTGGCGATCGTGCCGTGACCGCGGAATCATAACGACGATCGCGCCGTGACCGTGATTATTGGACCGACGATTGCACCGTGACCGCGAGTCACAATGACGATCGCGCTATGACCGCGGAGTCATACCGACAGTCACGCCGTGACCGCGCAGTCATAACGACGATCGCGTCGTGACAGCGATTCATGGACCGACGATCGCACCATGACCGCGGATTCATACCGATGATCGAGCCGTGACCGCGGATTCATACCGATGATCGAGCCGTGACCGCGGAGTCCTAGCAACGATCGCGCCGTGACCGCGGAGTCCTAGCAACGATCGCGCCGTGACCGCGGAGTCATGCCGACGACCGCGCCGTGATCGCGAGTCATACCGACGATCATGCCGTGACCACGAGTCATTACGACGATCACCCCGTGACCGCGGAGTGATACCGATGATCGCGCCGTGACCGCGGAGTCATGCCGACGATCGTGCCGTGATCGCGAGTCATACCGACGATCATGCCGTGACCGCGAGTCATTCCGACGATCACACCGTGACCGCAGAGTCATACCGATAATCGAGCCGTGACCGCGGAGTCCTAGCAACGATCGCGCCGTGACCGCGGAGTCATGCCGACGATCGTGCCGTGATCGCGAGTCATACCGACGATCATGCCGTGACCGCGAGTCATGCCGACGATCACCCCGAGACCGCGGAGTCATACCGACGATCACCCCGTGACCGCGCAGTCATAACGACGATCGCGCCGTGACCGCGAAGTCATGCCGACGATCGTGCCGTGATCGCGAGTCATACCGACGATCATGCCGTGACCGCGAGTCCTAGCAACGATCGCGCCGTGACCGCGGAGTCATGCCGACGATCGTGCCGGGATCGCGAGTTATATCGACGATCACCCTGTGACCGCGAAGTCATACCGACGATCGTGCCGTGATCGCGGAGTCATACCGATGATCGAGCCGTGACCGCGGAGTCCTAGCAACGATCGCGCCGTGACCGCGGAGTCATGCCGACGATCGTGCCCTGATCGCGAGTCATACCGACGATCATGCCGTGACCGCCAGTCATGCCGACGATCACCCCAAGACCTCGGAGTCATACCGACGATCGCGCCGTGACCGCGCAGTCATGCCGACGATCGTGCCGTGATCGCGAGTCATACCGACGATCATGCCGTGACCGCGAGTCCTAGCAACGATCGCGCCGTGACTGCGGAGTCATGCCGACGATGGTGCCGGGATCGCGAGTTATACCGAAAATCATGCCGTGACCGCGTGTCATATCGACGATCACCCTGTGACCGCGAAGTCATACCGACGATCGTGCCGTGATCGCGAGTCATACCGACGATAATGCCGTGACTGCGAGTCATACCGACGATAATGCCGTGACTGCGAGTCATACCGACGATCGCGGAGTCATACCGACGATCATCCCGTGACCGTGAGTCATACCGACGATCATGCCGTGACTGCGAGTCATACCGACGATCAGTCATTTCGACTGCGAGTCACAAGTTTCTATAAGTAAATAAATAAAAGTTTCTATAGGTAAGTTTCTATACCTGTAAATTATTACCCATTGTTTTTTGTTTTTTTTATTTTTGTTGATTTTGTATGTCTTTTTTGGTAACTGCAATACTCAAGATTTTCTTTTTATGCACAGAAAAAAATCCCGTCCCGTCCCGTCCCGAAAATCGGGAAGGAAATAAAAATCCCGTCCCGTCCCGAACTAAAAATTCAATCCCGTCCATCCCTATTGATAATCATGATAAACATTCAATATCATAAATGAAAAGTCATAATATAAACATAGTGATATTGTTGTGTGACTTGTGTAGATGTTAAACCAAGCGTACCTCAAGCTGCAGCCAAGCCTGCTGCCCCTGTCAAGCCAGGGGCCCCCGCAGCTGCCAAGCCTGCAACTCCCGCCCAGCCTGCCAAGCCTGCAGGCCCCGCTGCCGTCCCAGCCAAGGGGCCTACACCTCCTGCCAAGAAGGAAGCCAACTCAACCCCTCAGCCTGGCAAGAAGGATGAACCACCCAAAAAGGAGGATGGCAGAGATGGAAACCTGTGAGTAGAAATGTTATATTTGGAGCTTGTTGATAATCAAGACCTTTTGAGTGCTCTTCCTTAAAACATCCTCAAAAGGTTATTTATTTGCTTATTGCTTAAGAAATAAATAACCTGGGGTATGTGGATATCCAAAACATCGGGTCAGATTTGTTAAGGATATTTGGATCTGATCTTAGCCCAAATATGATATCCGACATTTTTTGTTAAATATCTAACTATTTCAGATAGACTATGTAATCTCATCCTGGTAAGCCAGCTATCCCAGCAAAAATCATAAAACCTCGTGCCCTTTGTTATACACCCTATATGGAAAGCTGACTGTATGTTCTGTGGTTTTTCAGGTTCTCGTTCCAAAAGGAGAAGGAGGACGGCAGGGTTCTGAAGGGAGTGATGAGAGTGGGAGTGTTAGCCAAGGGGTTGTTGTTGTCTGGTGACACTCAGGTCAGACTGGTAGTGTTGTGTACTGAGAAGCCTACTCGCTCACTGCTGTCTAAGGTGGCACAGAACCTGCCACTACAGCTCAAGGTAAGCACACAATAAAACGCTATGTCCCACCTTCACGTTATATGACGCTAGTCTCTAGCCTAGAACCGTTTACACATTATTTTGGGCTAGGTCTGAAGGTTTGTGGCATCATCACATAGATGAAACCCATTTGTGTTTGGTGGGATTTGAACCCGGGACCTAGGAAACAGAATCCCCGCACTCTACCATTAGACTAGCCCACTCTCTGACTTTGGATGCTGCTAAGTAGATTTTTCATTGTACTGTGAAATTTGAATACTGTTTTAACATAAAGTTGGTTGATTTTGAGTTTGTTGACTAAATGTTTTTCTCTTAATTTTCAAATAGCTTAATTATGTGTGTTTTGTGTTGCTCTTAGTTGATAATACATAGCAACACAACTAGACGTCTCATCCCATTGTCAATTTTGAAGCTCGTTTTTCGTGTCTAGTTCATGTACGGTGGTGACAATGATCGCTAGTGTCGATCAAATATTTAGTTTCTATTATTTTTGGGTTGATTTAATTATTATTTGTGCTTTACTGTTAGGGGACAAGTTATTGTTTATGATTAGATGGATTGTTTTGGTTAAATGAGGTTTTAAATGACTAAAATGACAATAAACAAATTGTAAACAAAACAAGACCTTTACAGTGCACTGGACAGAACTAACAATAAAATTGGCTTCAGCTGTTCCATAAGGAAAAGAAATATACTTAAGGATTATGTTTTATTCATGGTAATACCAGATGATAAGATATATTTTTTACTTATAATTCATGAACTCACTGATTCAGGAACCGTTATTCATAAAAACAGTATATCATTGCCATGGGTTTCCTGGCCCTTTTTCTGTGATGCACTAATAAATTCTACTAGGTTTTTTTCAGGCCATGTGTATTATTTGTCCATGAAGTATGTTATAGAAGAAACAATCGTTGCCAATATTTTGCTGGCTAGTTGATTTAGCTGGACCAGTTATACGCTTGGCATACATAAACAAACAGAAGCATACCTTAAATTAATTTATGTTACCTGGTGTATGCATTTGTTAACATTTCATAGTTCACAACTAATTGATAAATAATTGGATTTTTAAGTCCTAGCATTTTAGTAAAGAATGGTGATTTTTAGTCAGGAGAAGATGGTAATTTCTAAACGATATCGTGGAGGATGATAAGAGTTTTGCCGCCATTGCGGATGACTATGATAATGTCCACAGGACCGTGGGAGATATTTGTAATTTTGCCATGACTGCGGGAGTCGTTGATAACGTTTCCGTGACTGCGGGAGACAATGATGGTGATTCTATTGTTATTTAGGATTTTGCGGTTGAGAAAGACAATGATAATATTTCCGTGATTAAGGAAGATATTTAGGATTTTGCAGTGATCCCAGAAATCGACTATGATGTCTCCATGCCTGTAGGAGATGACCACCTCTATTTATAATAAAATTGACCTTTATTTACCTCTGTTATAGTAGTAGATGCATTAAGTAAGAAGGATTTAAACACAAAATTGGCTAGTTAGATTTTTTTATAACTGCATTAATTTTCTCTTTACTTGAAAAACACCTTACCATCTCAAACATACCTTATGACATAAAGACAGGGGTTTGTGTATGTATAGTAGTATATAACCTATTAATATAGAAAATTTGTTAAAACTACACACAGGGTGTATACCAACTGGGAGAACAGGGGAAAAACCTTGAATTAAATGGGACCTGGAAAAAACCGAGATTTTCGCAATGATTCGTGGATTTTTATTTTTTTAAATTTATTTTGAAAAAATGAGTCTTGAAAAGTATAGAATTAATCTTGAATTTTAAAATGTAAATAAACTATGTACCCTGAGTTGGCGACTGGGAAACATATGAGAGTCTGTGGCCACTCTAATTACATTTGACCTCCCTTGTTACAGGCTGTAGCTCCAGATGATGCCTACACTGTAGAGATGAAGGTAGACCAAGGATCTGTGTTAGTGACTGCTGCAACAGAGCCCAAGATAGTCGTCACTGTGTCTCTGACATCTCCACTGATGAGAGAACCAGTTTTACTGGAGTCCACTGGAGGTACGCACCTGTGCTTACTTAGACACTTTAGGCGTCAAGACACACTAGACGATTTCACAGGCCACTATCTTCAGTTGTCTGTGGTGTATGTTAATGTGCAATTGACTTCTTAATTTCATTTAGAGATCTGTTTTGGGAGAAAATTGATTCAGGTTCTTTTAGGGCTATGAAGCTGGATGGATTGTACAAATTAAATTTGAACAGTAGTATGTCTACAAATAAACTTTGTGTTAAGTTATATCTGATTTGCTAATTTTTTATGAAGTTAGACTACATTAAATGTATAGTTCTCAAACAGAGGTGGGTATACAAATTTACAAGAGTTTTTGTTCAATTCTGTGTCTATATCCTAAGAAGATGTATGCACTTTTTACTCAATTAGATTGAATAAAAATATACATTAGGTGCGAGACAATGTGATATGACTAATAACTTGATGATTCTCTTTAAAGAGTTCATTGTTAATGTGAAGACGAGTTGATTTATTATAAGTGGTAATTTACAGAACATAAATCCTCTTACATTAAATGTTTTATGTTAGTGAAATTACACAATAGAAAATTACCTATTTTTAGACATGTGTTTTTTCCATGGCATATTTGCTATGTGGCTTTGTTTTCATATTTTTAACAGAATATAGAGCCTATGTGAAGATCGTCTAGTGTATTATCTTTGGTCTTTGTGTTTTTTCTTTGTATATCAATTTGTTGAGTTTTTCACTGATTCAAACTGCAAGCAACATCCATTTGTCATATTTTGAACCACAATTTTAACTTTTAATTTATTGGCAATATGTTACTAATAATTTTAAAAAGTGGATTAGAAATTAAATATAGATTTGTAAATAAAACTCATTTAGGTAGATCTTAAACTTACAACTAAAATTGTATTAATAATACTCTGTTATTCTTTTGGAATCATCTTAACCATTCGACTTACATAAAATACCCATTTGCATATGTTTATTTGACGTTTCTGAATCCCAAAAAAGTTAAATTATTTTTTATTATTTTTTTATTTTACTATTCATTACTATAACAAATTGTAAATAATTTTTTTAAATATATGTTTTTGTTCAAATTGTTATACAAAGAGAACTGACAAAAACCTGCTACAATCCAAGGGCCGAACAACCTGTGCATTTATGAATGAGAACCGTTGCAATACACGTTTCTATGTACGTAGGCACCCAGAAGAGTGTGTTTGGCCCATGGAAGAGAGAAGAGCCAACCATTACCTCACCAGATTCGTAGAAGGAACTCCTTTATCAGCATTTCACATGTAGTTTTGCTGTCACATGTAATATTGCTACTTTTAAGCTTCCAGGTGTTCCAATAGTGGGTCTGGTTGAGGGACCAAGGATTTTTGACCATAAAAAGTGTGAGGCGAATCCATGGCATTAGTGCACCTAGAGAGGTTTAGGACGGAAATTTCAAGTCTTAAAATTATTGCTGTTGCTTTAGGAATAAAGCAAGATAGGAGTTAAAAAACTTGCGAACGTGTTATCACTCAAATTTTATGCTCTAGTTGTTTGTTATTAGGGCTTGTGTGTCCAGAACAGTTGCATGGTTCAGGGCATCAGTTAAGTGTACTTTCAATTTATCCTTTTGGGGAAGGTTAGTGATTTGTTCTTTAAGGTTTTTATTTTCGTTAATAGTAGTGCAGTTGGTATAAGTTTAATACTGTTTTATTGTATAACACCTTTTAAGACTACACGTATACATGTTTTGGAGACTTTTTACCTACAAACATTTGCTTGTGAATTAAATGGGAGAAAAGTTTTTTATTAATTTTTAATTTGTTTAATGATGTTTTTGAAAGATAAAAACACAATACATAATAGGAATAAAGAGTAAACTCTGAGTCCATAGACCATGCAACGCGATGGTGTAGCCTCTCACAGTTGAATGGCGTTGGAACGCAAGCGTAGCGTTGGAACGCAATTCACTATTGTTCCTTTATGGTCAAACACCCTTGTCTGCAGATGGTGTCTCGTCGCCGCCAAAGGATCCGCCCGATGTGCTCAGCAAGCAGAAATGTTTGGACGCTTTGGCTGCTCTCAGGCATGCCAAATGGTTCCAGGTTGGCATCACTTACTACTTCTACTTCCGCTTCCCAGCCTTGACTTTTTGTAACTGAGTGATGTTTTAAACCCCCAGCGCTTTCTCAATGTCACACAGTTGTCGATTCGTTTAGACATCCACAAAATATTTGGTCAATGTTTTTCACACATTTATTTAGACGCAAAAAGGTTTGTTGCGAGTTGCGAAGAAAAGTTTTGTTTTAATTTATGGAGATAAATTTTTATATTGAGGTTAACTAAAACAGTCAGACATTAATATCCTTTGATAAAAATGTTTGAAGTCTTGCATTACAATAGTAAATAGCAAAACAAGTGGATTTTATTTGGAACCTTTTTAAATGAAGGTTGGGCCCTACTCGTAACAATTTTTGCTTGCAAAAGCTATGTGAAGGGGTTCAACTCATCACTCTATAAAGACATTCAGTTTGTGTTGTTTAACTTACTTAGTGTAGTCTTATGATTAAGAACAGTTTCTTTTTTTATTAAAAAATGTTTCAGTACAGTTGTTATCTTGACACAATTATTGTGTAAACAATTCATGCTGCAAGTAGCCTCAAATGTTCTCAAAGTAATATAAACAAGGCTGGAAAGTATAGTCAATTCTTTTTCAAAATTTAATTTTTCAAAGTATTTCATTAGACCAATTGGCGGTAGAAGGTAAACTAGTTGTTAGAAGTGGTTTGTGACTGTGACGTGTGATTGTTTAACCAGCAGTTTGTTACGCAGGCTAGGGCTACTGGTCTGCAGAGCTGTGTGATGATCATCAGGATTCTTCGAGACTTGTGTCGTAGGAACCCCACCTGGGCTCCACTCAACCCCTGGGTAAGTATATCACTAAGCAGTGGGTAAAGTCATGGAAGGCCTACACTACTTTGTATATTATTTCTCATAAAATTTTGAGATGAGATCGAGACGGGATTTCTCTTCTCATACATATCGGGAAATGCACGTTCGCAATTTTAACCTCATTTTGTTACATTGTAAATACCTACTGATTTATGACAGATGACTGGTAAAATACCAAAAATAGTAATAACTGGCAGGAATATTTAAAATCTTTTAATAAAAATCATCAATAAAAACATCAGTATAAGAAAACAAATATTATTTAGGACTACCTTATTAAAAATAACTATTACGCATAGGAAACATGGTGATATCAGTTAGGATTAGGGATGGGCCGATTCCGATTCTCGATACCTCGATACCTTCGATTTAAATAACATTAGGTTTAACGAGTACCTAGGTTTGCTGTTACAAGGAAACTAATTGCCAAGTCTGATCAAAATATATCCTTAAACAACTAAAATACTACATTTTACAATGTTCTCTATAAGAATAACATGGGAAATTTAAATTTACAATTTTTTGAATTTTCTCCGTGACCAATAGCCTTACAAAACTACTTTTGTATACTAAATTATTTGTTTTTTAAGCTCTTTAAAAAGGTTTAGGAAAAGTTGAGAAATTTTGTGTTTTTTGGGTCAACAATGGAAAAAACCCTATTTTTACCCCATAAAACCCCGTTCCCATGCTGCGAACTCATTCAAGTTTATCCCTCCTTACACCTAAAAAAAATCCAACAAAAATAACTCAAGTTATCGCGTTTACTGACACACACACACACATATGTATATGTTAGGGGTCTGCAGTACATAAAATTTAAGGTCGGTACGGTACAATATTTTGTACCTCGGTTCTCGGTACAAAATCGGTACGGTACGCGGCTAACCGTATTTTTGCGGTTTTCTTTTCAGAACTGTATTTAAACCATTATTTTTAGGGGTCTGCGGGTCAGACTTTTTTGGCTCGGGTCGGGTCGGGTCGGGCCAATAATTTTGGTCCTCGGGTTTCGGGCCAAAATCGGGTCGGGCCAAAAATTATTAATTACCAGATTTTTTTTAACAAGGAAGGAGAGACAAAAAGATATATTTTCTTTATTCAAAAATATAAAACTGTCACAGATAATTTCCAAAGAAATTAATTCATGGTAGTTTGTGTCTTGTAAATATTGTATTGGATCTTAGAAATATCTTTTTTGAAACTCAATCTAACTTAAGAAAAAAATAATTTTACTGATGAAAACTTTCATAAAATTATAAAATATTTAGGCCTAACCTCTTTGTAGACTTGTTGATAATTGATACTTAAAAAAAAAAATTAAATGGTGACCATAAAATGCCGAACCAGACGATCAGAAGTGTTGTTTTGTTTTGTTACTGAATGACAAAAAGGACAATAGGAAAATAAAAGAACAAGATACAGATCTGTACACTATATCAGATATTTCTATTGTTTATAATTTATTATGTAAATAAAATACTAAAATATAATTTAAACTAGGTATGGAATAAACAATAAATAATTAAACTGGTACCTCTGGATAAATAGTCTTTCTTTTGACTTCGTTTTCTTTGGACTGTTGCGTCACGGCTTTTGTTTTGTCAGTAGACGACTGGCTCTGGCTAGTGACAGTAAGGCAATAATTGCTCTGTTGTGTCTTTGTTCTTCAACGTGAGCAAACTTAATATTTAATTCTAATTTTAACATTTTAATTCCTCTGTAATAATGTATATAAGAGTGTTTCTTTGAAAATTACTTATTTTAACTTTAAAAATAGCCTAATAATTATTTTTTTTTGCCCGACCCGATCTTGGCCCGAACAAATCTCTGACCCGACCCGGTCTCTCGGGCCTTCCGCTGGCCCGACCCGACCCGAAAAAATCGGGGACCCGCAGACCCCTAATTATTTTTTATTTTAATACATTGACATTACTATGAAAATGGATAGTATCCTACATTCATTGTTTAACTAATAACAATTACTGTACCACACATTATTAAAACCTTTTACTCCTAGGCCTACGAGGCTTGTGTCAAAAAAAATCACAGTTAAGATAAAGGCTTTACCTATTTTACTCTGAGATACTTTGAATAGCCATGATAAAGTGGTTTTAAAATCAGGATAAGAATGTTTAGGAATAAACATGTTTGAAGCATTAATTGATCAGATAATTTCACACAACTGGTCAATTATTTCCAACCAACACAATGTCTAGTTGTTTTTTAAATTTTTAAAAACATATAAAAGCATTCAGTACGAAAACAGTGTAGTTGCCAGCTGTTTTCACATTCATCAGATGACAATGAAAAACAGGATGTTATGATGAAGTAATGGCAAAGAGCATCTTTTTTATCAGCTTGAAAACTAATTATAAGATGGATACATCTCTTGCAAAGATTTTTCTGAAACTAAAATTTGGATTACCACAGAGTAATATTATTGTCTTTTCATTTACAAAGTTAATATCCACATTTATCAATCATTAGTTCATCTCAGACTCAATCAAATTTTCTTAGTATATTTTAAAGCTCTTCAAAAGAGTCAAAATACCCAGGCATAGACCTAAGTAATTAGGATGGCCTATATAAATTGAGTAGGTTACAATGAGGGTAGCAAAATCACTATCATAATTCTAGTTCATAAGATTTAGATTGCATAAAGTACCTTCAACACAACCAGGCCCGTTTTTGACCCTGTCAGTGCCCTAGGCACAACTAATAGTAGCGCCCCTTTGCAATATATAACAGGGTGTCCACCAACCAGGAAAACTGGGAAATCCGTGAATTATGCGTGGGTTTTTTTTTACCGGGAATTATGCATGGAATTTGTATTTCTACCTGGGATTTTCAATTTACCGGGATCGCGCATAACAACAGTGACGTTTCCGTGACCGCGGGAGACGATAATATGTCTACACACGGCCGCGAGGGATGATCAGAATTCTCCGCCATCGCAGAAGACTATGTTGATATCTACAGAGTCAGAACATTGCCACGACCACGGAAGACCATGGTAATATCCACACGACCGCGGGAAACAGCAAGAATTTGGCCGCGATCGCGGAAGACGACGATGATCTCTACACGACTGAGTGATATAATTAATATTTTTCCGCAATCGCGGGAGGCGATTACAATGTTTTCACGACCGTGGGAGACGATTAGAAGGCTACAGGTCTGCGGGAGATACAATGATGGTACGAGAGGGATGATTAGAATTATTCCGCGATCGTGCAAGACGATGATCATGTCCACATGTCCGTGGGAAAAGACCAGAATTTTGCGGAAGACGATGATCTCCACATGGCCGCGGGAGATGATTACCATTTTGCCGCAATCGCGGGAGGCGATTACTATGTCCACACGATCATGTCTTTACGGCCGCGAGGCGTGATAAGAATTTTATTGCGTTCGCGCAAGAATATGATAATGTCCACTCGATGGTGAGAACAGATCTGAATTTTGCCACATTTGCGGAAGACGGTGATGATCTCGACATGGCCGCAGGAGATGATTACCATTTTATCGCAATTGCGGGAGGCGATTACTATGTCCACACGACCGCGGGGGACAATATAATGATGTCTTTACGGCCGCTAGTGGTGACCAAATACAACCACAATTTTTCTTTTATTTTCCAATTTTTTTGGCGCCCCCCAAAAACGCCAATTGCCTCGCGCCCTAGGCACGTGCCTACCATGCCTATTCGGTAAATTGGCCCTGAACACAACAACAAAAATTTAGGAAACAAAAAAAATACCAAACCTTAACAGCCACATCCAACAATATAAGACAAGATACAGAACATGCAATGACATAATTTAAGACAGAGTAGGATTGAATAACGGAAAACAATTATGCAAACAACAACTACTACTACTACTACTACTACTACGCTTGTGGTTTCATCAAAGAAAGATAAAATATCCATAACAAATATCTTAACTAATAAAATAAGATTGTAGATTAGTTACAAGTTTAACATTAAGCCATAAAATGTTTTATGGCAGTAGGCAATGGCCAGCGGCAAATTGAATATTCACGAAAATACTGACTGAATTAGAGATAAAATTTACAGCCATCATAAAACTATTACTTTTATGATCAAATAGAATTGGGGAAAGTCGTAAAGGAATAAAAGTAATAAAACTCAATAGTTCTTGGAAGTACTTGAATAAATTATTGTCATGATAAAATGTTAATGGATTTGGGACTGCTAATGGGTTTTTATTGCATCATCACCCTAGTAATAAATTATGAAGATCGTAAACAAACATCTGATAAGACTTTTATGTGCTCAGAACCCGATGACGGTAATTAAGATTGTACCGATGACGGTAATTAAGATTGGTAATTAAGATTGTACCGTACCAACTTTTTCGGTGCACCGCAGACCCCTAGTATATGTGTAGGGTATATATAAATTTGAGCGAATGACATTTTTGGTCTCTGACATCAAAATGAAAAAGTGAATCGGTCCCGGGCCTAGGTCTTACCATGCCACCTATGGTAATAGCTACTTCCCTATAGGGAAATTCACTAAAATCAAATCAAATAAACAGAAATTTGCATAGTCTCTACAGGTTTGTTGCAGGGGAGGGGGTATTTCAATTTAAAATAGGCAAAATGTTGTCCATCAATGCAGTTGCTCAACACAGTGTTGGTTGGCAGGCCATGGAGTTGCTGACAGAGAAGGTGTTGAGTTCTGCAGGAGGGCCGATGCCTCCAGGAGAAGCTCTGCGTCGCATCCTAGAGGCTCTGTCGTCAGGTATCTTGCTGCCAGGAGGCCCGGGACTACTGGACCCTTGTGAGAAGGAACCTGTAGATGCAGCTGGCAGTCTCACTGCGCAACAGAGAGAGGACCTCACAGCCAGCGCTCAGGTAGACTATCCCCTTGACTCATAGTACACATATAGATTATAACTTATAACTTTCAACTGTGTGAAATGCTAATTGCTACATTAAACTAAATCAACATAGTTTAATCTTTTTTGTTTTACAAAAAATACCATCAAATACATAGTTTTCCACTTTTCAAGTTTGCTGCCATTTTTTAAATAATAGAATCGATATTTTTTATGTATTTTATGGTCTTTTAATAATGTAGATCCAATTTGAAGACTTATTTTTACTCTTTGCATTTTCACTCTAAACTTACTGGTTCAGCAGCTACATGATGCAAAATGTACACAGGAAGTGATTTTTTTCTTAGGCTGTAACTCGTAAACATTGATTAGCTTTGTAGAAAAATTATCAAGAATAAAAACATATTTAAATTGCATGTTCTACCCGAAAACATAATAAAATATAGTGTGTTCCAGAAGAAATTTCCAAGTTGGCTGCCATATTGGAAAATGGCAGTTTAATTTCGAAAAACTAAAATAATATTTTTAACTGCCACAAAAATAAAGGAATGTCCCCCATTTAAAGTTTTCTCTAATTCTTAATGTTATACCAATGGTGGCCTCCTTTGATCACCCTGTATATATATATATATATGAATTTGATGAACAGATGGTGTTTTTGGCCTCTAGTGACCCCAAAGTGAAAAAGTAAATCGGTCCTGTCCAGTTATTTTTGGTATAATTTATTGTGAAACATTAATCTAATGAACACTGCTGCTAGCTAATAACTAACAGGTATTTAAATTACTATTGTTTTAAGGCCTGATATGATTACTTGTAGAAAAGCAGTACATGTTTTAGTTATCATAAATTTGCTATGTGCACCCATCACAATGTCATCATGACTGTAATCTGCGATCTCTGCGCCATCTTGAACATCACGTGCAATCATGGTGTTATTGTCAACTTGTCCCGCGTTAGCAGCACCATCGTCCTCATGTCCTGCGGTTGCCACACCATCAGTCGCAAATCTAAATTAGTCCCCTTTTGTTGATTGGGAAAACACAGAAGACATTAAAATATCCAGGCCCGGAGGCTTTCCTTAAAAAACTGAATTACTTCAGTAAGGACAATTAATTATCCTAAACAATTGCGGATATTTGAAGGTCAGAGTGTCTACAACTGTTTAGTTCCAACTAAAAATATTCCCCCTCATGAAATGTTGCTATGGGTACTCTTTAAGTCAAACCACACTGGTGAGGTTAGAGACACAGTTTAATACTATTTATTTTTAAATGTCTTATTTTGTTCTACAAAAAGTATTTTGTTGAAGAAATGGATTCTAGTGTCCAGTTAAAATTATTATTGCCAATATTTTACTGGCTTGCTGTTTTTGCTAAGTCCAGTTATACGCTTGGCGTACATAAACAAACAGAAGCATACCTTAAATTGATTTAAGTCACCTAGCGGTATGCATTTGTTAACATTTCATATCAAAACTATTTTATTTATGCGGAAGACAAAACCATAAAGTTTTACTCAAGATTATTTGTGAAAATTTTAGCATAGGAGGGTTACTAAATTTGTGTTTAAACTTAAAAATGTTAAAATTTTCAATTTTAAACTGAGTAAACTTTTTTCCTGTTCAACATTTTTGTTTTCTATTTTTATTTAACAGTTGGGCCTAAATTAACCAGGGACGGATCTACCGTGGTCAATTAATTTTGTTAAAACTATGTTACGTAGCCTCATTATCCACCCATGCAAAAATACATACAGAAATACATTGTATATTTAACTAGTTCTGATTATTATTTATATGCAGTGGGTAACCCACATTATGGATTTTTTTAACATCCCAGTTTATTATCGATAGCTTCAAGGCCAAAGCACTGACAATCGTATGCTCATTACACATCTGTCTGTTCTGCGCTTGTTATGTCACAAAAGTTTGGGTTTGGGTGATTTAGTAACCATGACAACTTCAGTATCCTGTTATCGGGCGATTAGTAACCATGGCAACTTGTTGAATGTGTGGATGAAGGAAAAGAAACCCGAGAAAGAAGAGAGAAAGAATAAGAATGTAGTTATCTAATGTTGTTATCGACATTCATCTGTCCTGAAACAGCATGTAGAAGAAGCCTATAACTATCAGTAGCTAACTAGACTTTCTATTGTGTTTAGTTTTTTGCATGATTTATTGCTGTACAGTACACTCTCGATTACCCGAGCCCCCGGGTTAGGCCTAAATATAGATTTATATACAGGGTGATTGATATAAGTGTGCCAGCCGTTTTATTCGAAAACTATAAGAGATATCAAAAAAAGTTAAATGGTAAGTGCCTTGGATTTTTTATTAAAAAAATTATAGTCGAGTCAAAAAAATTATTTTAGCCGCCATTTTTCCAATATGGCCGCCAACTTTGATTTTTCTTATGGAACACCCTGTATTTTATGATGTATTCTGGTAGAAAAAGTAATTTTAAGACGATTTTATTCTTGTGATTTTTTTCATAAACCTAACCGTTTCAAAGGTAATAATGGTTTAAGTTGTGAAATTTTGAATGGTTTTCGAGCAAAACAGCTGGAATGTTTGCTTAGGCCTTTATCGAAACTCTTTCTCATGCAGAAATTTCAAAACTTTAACCATTATTATCTTTAAAACGGTAAGGTTTATGAAAAAAATCACAAGAATAAAATCGTCTTAAAATTACTTTTTTTACCAGAATACATCATAAAATACAGGGTGTTCCGTAAGAAAAACCAAAGTTGCGGCCATATTGGAAAAATGGCGGCTAAAATATTTTTTTTTTGTGTTTTAAATAAAAAATCCAAGGCACTTACCATTTAACTTTTTTTGATATCTCTTATAGTTTTCGAATAAAACGGCTGGCACACTTATATCAATCACCCTGTATATCCAGGAAAGCAATAATTACGTTTTTAGGAATGTTTCTGTTGAAAGTAAAGTAATAATATATGTAAAGCTTATTTTTGTTTGTTGCAGACTGCGCTGAGGCTGTTTGCGTTCCGCCAGATTCATCAGGTGCTAGGTATGGAGATGTTGCCACAACCCAAGTTCACTCCAAAATACAACAATTACCGATTCGGCCGCAAGCGCAGACGAGACAACAGCAATGGGGAAGGTAATGATTCTGAAGGTGAGCTCACTGGTTGTAGGTATCCTGCTTGTATCTTGCTGTCCTTAGATTTATTTGTTGTGTTCCTATACAAATTACATTATAGGCTACAGGTACTTGTTTTGTACTCACACTGCTCCAAGAGATGCCATAAACCAGCTATATAAAATATTTCCTAGTAAAAATTGTACTAACAGGACAAAGTGCCATGACATACATTTAAACTAAACTAGCATTTAAAATGCTCAGAAAAATAACCATGCTATGCTATGTGGGTTATCAGAAGGTATTCTCAGCATTGACTGTATGTTGTGGAAGTGAAGTAGACTTTCATCTGTCCTGTTGTATAAAGTAGAGTCCCGCTATTCCAAAAATGTGCATATTGCAAACTAAAGTTTGGACATTACTTATTTGTTGACGTTAGTGGGATAATCTTAAGCATCTGCGAAATGCGGTCGCAGAGATATCGTCATCGACTCCCGCTAAATATCGACTGGAGCTAAATTTTTTATCTCATTTTCCAGTCGCTTTCTGAATTGGTAAAAAACTCCTATAATTTAATGGCAAAATCTTAAACATTTCTGTCACCACAAAATGGAAACAGTCACGACGAAAGCATGAACATCTGGGGTATCATCATCTTTGTCTCCCTGAATCGCTGCAAGACTGCAAACATCACAAATTGATCGCAATGATCGACTATTACAAAAATCCGACTATTCCAAATTTCTAGTTAATCCAATTAGGGTTCAGTACCAATTAGTTCAGAATAGTGGGACTATACTGTCATTTGAAGTTTGTGTTGGAATGTGTTTCATGTTGTTCAATACATGGGGGAGGGTTTATGTCAACTAATTTTTTTTTTCCTGTTTATGGGTACTCATGGGGATCCTTTGTTTTGGCTTGAATACCAGATCTAAAGACATTTACTAATACATTGTTCTATTTTTGTTCTCAATAAATGAATTTGGTAAAAAATTACTGTATGTATAAATTAACATAAAAAAACATCAATGTATCCAAGATGACATTAACACACTTTTAATTGCCATCAGATGATCCATGCAGTATGCTTAAATGACTATCAGTTGTAAAAATCTTTGTTTTAAGAAGAATATCACACTCAGTTTTAGTGTTATTTTTCATACTTGCTACAAGTGATAACTCTTAAGTAAAAGAGTATATATTATGTTGCTCTTTTAACAGTGTAAATGTGAGCTGATCATAAATAATTTATAAATTAAACACTTTTTTTAAATACCAAGTTTCCAAACGCACTAAAAAGTAAAATAATTTATAAATATGTGGAGAGAATAAATACTTGTAAGTAGGGATGGACGGGATTGAATTTTTAGTTCGGGACGGGACCAGACGGGATTTTTATTTCCTTCCCGATTTTCGGGACGGGACGGGACGGGATTTTTTTCTGTGCATAAAAAGAAAGTACTGTATTGTAGTTACTACCAAAAAAGACATACGAAATCAATTTTTACCATTTGTGGCACTGATCTATAAAAACCAAAAAATGGGTAACAATTTACAGGTACCTATAGAAACTTGTGACTCGCGGGTCACGGGGTGAACGTCTGTATTACTCACGGTCACGGCGCGATCGTCGTCATGACTCGCGGTCACGGCGCGATCGTCGTCATGACTCGCGGTCACGGCGCGATCGTCGTCATGACTCGCGGTCACGGCGCGATCGTCGTCATGACTCGCGGTCACGGCGCGATCGTCGTCATGACTCGCGGTCACGGCGCGATCGTCGTCATGACTCGCGGTCACGGCGCGATCGTCGGTATGACAGGTGGTCATGGCGCGATCGTCGGTATGACTCGCGGTCACGACGCGATCGTCGGTATGACTCGCGGTCACAACGCGATCGTCGTCATGACTCGCGGTCACGGCGCGATCGTCGGTATGACTCGTGGTAACGGCGCGATCGTCGGTATGACTCGCGGTCACGACGCGATCGTCGGTATGACTCGCGGTCACGACGCGATCGTCGGTATGACTCCGCGGTCACGAGGTTATCGTTGGTATGACTCGCGGTCACGACGCGATCGTCGTCATGACTCGCGGTCACGACGCGATCGTCGGTATGAGTCGCGGTCACGACGCGATCGTCGGTATGACTCGCGGTCACGACGCGATCGTCGTCACGACTCGCGGTCACGGCGCGATCGTCGGTATGACTCGTGGTAACGGCGCGATCGTCGGTATGACTCGCGGTCACCGGGTTATCGTCGGTATGAGTCGCGGTCACGGCATGATCGTTGGTATGACTCGCAGTCACGGCGCGATCGTCTGTATGACTCCGCGGTCCCAGCCCGATTGTCGTTATGACTCGCGGTCTCGGTGTGATCGTCGGTCCAATAATGCGGCCACGGCGCGATCGTCGTTATGACTCCGCGGTCACGGCGTAATCGTCGAAATGACTTCGTCTCCTGCGTTCGCGGACCTATCGCTCGCAATAACGGCGTTATCGGCACTCGCGAAGCGGAAAAATCGCCGAAGATCGGACCAAATCCCGTCCCGAAAAATTCCTGAGTCAAATGTAATCACGTCCCGATAATCGGGAATATTTTTTTCCCGAAAAATTCCCGAAATTTCGGGACCCGTCCATCCCTACTTGTAAGATTTAAAACGAAAAACCTTTGGAGCATGAAAAGCTAATTTACACCACACTACATTATTTTGATGAACTTTCCACGCAAGGATTTAGTCCAGAAAACAGCTGTTTGCCGCCAGCTTATTCAAATGGGGTTTCATTGCGTAATACTGTTCTGCAATGAGTTTTACCGGACACCAATCAGCTGATTATACTGTATTTTCGTGGCAATTAGTGGTTATAAACAAAAACATAACCTCTCTCAGAGGTTATGACTAGTGTTTATTAGTCCTTTAGTTGGTGGAAATATATAAGGATTTGTACGGATTTAGTAGTATGCCGTAAACTATCGTACGTAACTCGTCCAAAATGTGTGTACCGGACTCGTATGGTAATCCCATACTCGACCTTGTCTCGCACGGGAACGACCACACTCGTCCGGTAAACACTTATTTTCAGGACTAGTAACGTAATATACTATTACAAATACCCCCTCTTTATTATTATCTATTGCATGTGCCCAACGTTTTTCGTTTTAAATCTCACTAGCATTTCTTCTCTCCACATATTTGTTACACTCTATAGTAGGAAGCTTTAGACTTGGTTTAGTTTTCTTACAAAAATGGAGACTAATCAACAACTATTTACAACATTGGAACAAACACTATCACATACCATATCCAACAGTTAATATCACTGTTAATATCATTTAAAATTTTGTTAGTAAATTTTGATAAATGTTTCCCTCTTAAATTTTACACTAACAAACCACCCAAAAATAAATATAGGAAAAGCTGGGTGACTAAAGGTATTAAAATATCAAGTCAGAGAAAAAGAGAGCTAAGCACTATTGCCAAAACGGTTCAAGATGTTAATTTTAAAAAGTATTACAAAAACTATAGAAAAATATTTAAAGCTGTTTGCAATAAGGCTAGGAAAATGTTTAATTGTAAAGTTATATCATCTTCAGATAATAAGAGCAAAGCGGTGTGGAATGTTGTGAAGTCTGAACTAGGAGTCCTGAATTCCAATCATTTGGATTTCCCTGATTTGTGTGTCGGAGACAAGCAATTAAAAGATGGACAAAATGTGGTAAATTTTCTCAATGATAAATTTTGTAACATTTACAAAAATATAAATTGTATGCCTTGCTTACACACTGCAACTAATTTGATTAATAATACTAGTAGGCCTAATAATATAAGAATGAAATTTCAGTTCAGACATGTATCGATTTTAGAAATTAAAAAAACCGTTAGAAATTTAAAAAATAAAAAATCTTCTGGATGGGATGAAATTCCTATTGAATTAATTAAAAATGTCATAAACCATATTGCAGAGCCTCTGTGTCTAGTAATCAATCAATGTTTTGATGAAGGAATTTTTCCCTATCAATTAAAAAATGCTGAGCTGAAACCACTTTTCAAAAAAGGCTCAGTAATGGACCCTGATAACTATCGTCCTATTTCAATACTCCCATCTTTGTCTAAAATCTTTGAAAAAATTGCTTACAACCAAATCTATTCATATTTAGAAAATAATGATTTATTTACCAATAAACAATATGGTTTTAGATCTGGGAAAAACACTATATCTGCTGTCTCAGACTTCATAAATCAGGTTTCTGATGGCTTGGATGGGTCTCAGAGCACAGCTGCGGTGTTCTGTGATCTATCCAAGGCATTTGATTGTGTAAATTACAATATATTAATGAGTAAACTTAAATATTATGAATTTTCTGATATGGCTCTGTCTTGGATGCATTCATATTTGACTAACAGACATCAAAGAACAATAATCGTAAAAAATGGTAAAAAATGTATTTCACAGTGGCTTACAACTAAATGTGGGGTTCCGCAAGGGTCAATACTAGGCCCCTTGCTATTTTTAATATTTATTAATGACTTACCTCGAAATGTATCGTCTAACCTTATCTTATATGCTGATGACACTACAGCAATAGTTAAATCAAATAATTTGCAAAATCTTAAACAAGAAATCAGTCTTTCTATTCTTAATTTATCTAATTGGTTTACAGCCAACGGGCTAAAACTTAATAATTCTAAAACACAGGTGATGTTATTTCAAACAATTCAGAATAGGCAAAACTCCACTGTTGAATTATCTTATGATAATAATATTATATCCTTTACTGAAAATTTTTGGGTTTAGATATCGATAAGAATTTAACATGGAAAACACACATAAAAATGGTAGTTGGTAAATTAAATACGGCTTGCTTTCAAATGTATGTTTTGAGAAATGTAATAGATTTAAAAACTAAACTCACAGTGTACTATGCAATGTTCTTTTCTGTCTTGCAATACGGGATTGAATTATGGGGAGCAACTTCTTATTCTAAAGCAGTTTTCAAAATTCAGAAGAAATTTATAAGGATTTTATCATTTATGCCTAAAAGAACCTCATGCAGAGCTTTATTTGCTAAATATGAGATATTAACTTTGCCTTCACTTTATATATTTAAAATGATGGTGAATTTTAAAATTAATTATCAAATGTACAATGATAAACAAATCAGTCATCCATATCTTACACGCTCAAAAAATTTTCAATATCCAAGACATCGCCTTTGTTTATATGAAAGATCTCCTTATTATATGGGATTAAGGCTTTACAACAGTCTACCCACTAATTTTAAAGAAATTAACATTATTTCAAAATTTAAAAATGATTTCAAACGATACCTTTTACAGAAAAATTATTATAATATTTCTGATTATTTAAATGATAAGTAAATATATTTTAGTTTAAGCTATGTGGATTTTAGTTTTGTTATGTAACTTAGTGTTTAAGATCTCTGACAATATCACCTGTTTCACCAGCTAACGCTGGATCTGTGAAATGTTTTTTGATAATAAAGTAATATTTCATTTCATTTCATTTCATTTCATTTAACATATGAAATAATACCATATGTTCCAAATTCAAATACATTTAAACAATATTTTCATGGACATTAGAATTGATCTTCAACAATATTTATATATTATTTTCAAATTCCTGAAACTCATTCTCCTGATATAAAGCCCAAAGTACCCATGAACTTTTGAGAAAACTACAAGTCAAACCCCCATAAACCATATACTTAAAATGTTCGTCATGACGAGAAACCTTGTGCAAAACTATCCATTATTTCATAAATTGCCCTTTAAGGTCGTAATTCCTTTCTAAAGGGAACTTTCCATATACCTAATGTTAAAATACCTCAGCTGTACTTATTTGTTTGTATTACTGTATTCTATTTTGTTTATTTCAGCTGAACTTAACCAATCAATAATTTTATTAATTTTTATGAAGTCAAACGGGGTGAAGCCCGTGGGCAACAGCTAGTTTATTTAAAAGAGTATTTAAAGTAAAACTCTCTTGTCTGCTGCTCTGTTTTTTGCATGTCTGTTTCTGTGCATGCTATAACTTGTAGGTATTGTTTCTATAATTGTGTGTGTATATAATTCTGTGCTGTGTAGTGGTATGTGCTTAGACTGTTGGTTGGTTGTGTGATTTTGTATTCCATACCTATTTCATAATATTCATGCCTGTGGCATTCAGTTATTGAAAACATGAAACATTTATGGTAAAGCGGTCCTTATGAGACAAGTGAACATATTTCTTAGGTTTTCACAAAGCTCAAGGAACGGTTTGACCATTAGGGAGTATAGTAATTTTTCAATTCGAGTGGAGTATTTAAGTATTAGGCCTAATTATTTAAAAAATGGCATAGCTTATTTGTTTGCTCCAGAATTCAATTTACACATCACTTGTAATTGTGTGATTTATTTTTTCTTACATTTTCTTCCTCCTCATTAACATGATATTCAACCTCGGTAACTAAATAACTTAAAAAAAAAATTCAATTAGTAAAAAACAATAACCCCTTTGTTCCCATCCTAACCCTTAAATTTGGTTTATCTTTAATGTTTTGTCAAAACATTAAGAACAATACAGCTTTGCCTATTCATATTTCAGTTCAAACATTAATTAGATCTTGTTAACTGACAATCCACAACTGACTGATCTCTTTCATGTTAGAGCCATACCCCAGTCATAGGAAAAAAATTATAGAAGTTCTACTTATATATTATTTTACTTAAATATTTTAGGTTGTTCTGTTCTTATTTTTAGGTTTGTTCATCATGCGTTTATGAATGAAATGGAAATTAAAGTACTTTAAGTGTGGGGTGAAGTAAGTTATCTTGAATAAGAGTAAGAAATTAAATAATTAACCAACTTTTTCAGCTGGTGATGGGAAAAAAGATAAAAAAGACGGAGATGCGGTCGTCGTCAAGATGGAAACTGACAAGAAGTAATTCCAAAAGCTAACTGGAATACACCTAATTATATCTAATATATGTGTCAGTCCACCCAGTATCAATGTTGAGAAGATGCTACTTAGTCAGTGTCCATGTATATTTTCGTGTGCAGTATTGCAATTACTTTTATCTTGGCACTCTTGCTTCCTAGACTTAGCTGCTATCAGGTGGCCAACTATCTTATACAATAACCCATCATTTGTAGTCTATGAACAAAATGTTATTTCACATTGACACATACACCTAGTTTAGACTGTAGGTAGAGTTATACCTCATTAATCATGTTTTCAGTTACTGGTATGTTTTTCTTATTGTGTTATATCTTTGTTTTCCTTTTTAGATAAATATTTTAAGAGTGAAAAGAATAATTTAGTTTTTTAAAGCTCATAGACACTATTCCTATTTGTTATTGTAAAAGTTGTATAATTTCTGAATAAATGACTATTCCTTTTTGTGTGTTTTTGGTTTACAACCGTGTTAAATTCCGTATAAAATATTATTTTTTGTTATTTGATTTTAAAATAGAGACATAACTCAATTCCCAATAATGGGATGGTAATACAATTCTCTTCTTCATCAAGAAAGTTCACACAATTAACAGAGTCTTTCAGGGGATTGGAGATCATCCATACACACGTTCGCTGCGGACGGGCCAGTACTGACCCAAAACCCACACTGAAGTATATCAATCTGTTGGTCAGTGCGAGCTTAGCGTCGGTCGAAGGCGGACCTATACCACGTTAGCGGGTAGTGGTTGACATGCTTTTTGTTGTGGTGTAGGTTGGTAGTAGATTTTCCCGTAAAATCCCCGTCTGGCAAGCTTAGAAGTCAACTTGTTGTACCGTCTTTCTCCAATTGGAAATACAATGGGACCGGCTACGTTCAAAGCAGTGCTGCTATCTGTGGGTGTTTTAGCGAACTACGTCGACTCTGGTCGTAACAAAGTACATCACCACACATTATTTGCTATTCATCAGACCGATATTTGAAAGCCAATCTCCCGGCAATCAGGCTTGTTCGACGCTGTGCCGCCCCGGGGATGCGCCCGCCATTGATGGGCCACGAAGCGAACGTGTTAAAAGAGTAGAGTGGGCCAATACCTTTCAGTTTCCTCTTTCTTATGAAGGGACATTACAACTTTCCTGGGATTAATGGAGAGCCCAACTTTGAGACACCAACGGTCCACCACCCTTAAAGCTCTGTTCATGAGGTCAGTTATAGTTCCGTAGAACTTCCCAACCACAAGGGTTGCAACATTATCAGCCTAATGCAAGGACCCCACTTTCATTGAGGGTCCTTTTAACCCTTTCAGTGCTATGAAACGATATATCGTTGTTTTAAAAATCTCTAAGGGATATAGAGAGGAAGGTTATTTTAACAAAAAGTAGCAAAACGGCCATTGGTGACCTGCATGTTCATAGGATACACTAACAACCACTTAGCTAAAAGATTCGCCCAATCCGATGATTTCGAGGTGTATGTCTAAACCAAGGATTATGAACACCTCACTGTGCCCCAGTGGTTGTGTTGTAGTATATCGCTACAAACACAGGTCACCAATGATTTGCCACACAGGACGGGATTCGAACCCGAGCAGACGAATGCCACTGGCCAAGTGACACACGCCCTAGCCTTCTCGGCTATCTGTGCTTGAAGACTGAGGAGTCAAAAACCGGTATTTAAGCTGACGCCACCGATTGCGAACAGATAGCGCCACAGATGGTTGTTCAATGCGTTACTAGGTAGCAGGAGACGTAGGAATTGGCCAACTCAGGAACTCGCTAACTCGGTCGTGTGTCGGAACTGGCTAACCGTCTCAGTCAGGAATTGGCTAACTCCGGAACCCGCTAACTCGATTTTGTCTCGCGGCGGAATTCGCTAACCCGGCCGCGCCCACTGCTCGGAGCGTTGCCAACCTTGTACGACAAAATAATCGTACACTGCCGTATTTCAAAATGTCAGTGTCTATAAAGATACAGTAAATGTTATTGTTTTTTGTTATCAATTCCACTTTTACAGATAACTAGCATAAAGTAATTAAAAGACAATTAAAAAATCATGAAAAAGTGTTTTTTTATTAAACTGTACAATGGCCAGTTAAATGTTTATGATTTCTATCTTAAATATAAATGCCACTTTTAGTTTAATTGGTACTAAATAATTAAACCTCTACGAAATTAAGCTAAAATACACGCAAGTTCTTAAACACGGAAAACAGATTTAATTGTAATGTCGTAATAAACCAAAACCATTAATTAATACAGTCATCAACCATGGTAACTTTCATAACTAATTCATAGATTTTATAAATCTATGCAACTTACGTGTACAAATATGATGACATAGACTAAGTTTTTATCCAGGCCTAATAGTTTGAACCAAAGCATTGTAGGACTACTAGTAAATAGTTGCCTAATTCTAAAATGTGTTGCATTTTTTAGCAATAATGTTACATGTTTTAAAACCGTTTTTAGATTGTACACCTAAGCACCACTAGTAAAAAATAGGAGAAGATATAATATTCATATAATAAAACGTGACAGGGTTATTTTAATTCACGATTCTTAATAAACGAATTGACGGATTTTCCTGATTTGAGTGTTGGGTTTCCTTTATATTGCTTTCACAATCGATATAAACTATACCAAGCCATTGCTCGGTTCACCGTTCCCCAGTACTGAGCTACACAATAGACAATAGCTTTGTTTATAAGATCAAGTAATTTTAGCTATGGCCACCATTCATAAGAATTGTAACAAACAAGAACGCCTGGGTCCATTTAGAACCAGCCTGGAGAAAAACTCCAGACTTTTAAAAAGTAAGCCTACTGAAAGACGTAAAATTAATATTAATTCAACAAAATTAAGAGGATGACCTGGGTTCTACACTAATAGCCTACGATAAAAGAAATTTACAAGTTGTATTTATGCATAGACTAACTTTTAATGCAATCCATGAATACATTAGGCCTACCACTTTATAATGTATTGATAAATATTTATTTAAATTCAATAGCTCTATTTAAAAATACATTACCACTACAATGTAATTCTGTAATGACGTTTAACGTGTACATTTTATTATGATTTAAGGTTACAAGCCCAGTATATAAAATACGAACTCAATAATTGTATTTGCAGAAGTTCACAAAATGGTATTTATTCGAATAAAAGAAACAAATGGCGGACTACGAAAATAGATATTTCATATAACATGTAATAGATCCAAATTAAATGTGCATTTTTATCTTTTTGCATACCAATAAGCTACTATTTAAGTAAGAAAGCCACATATAAAACATACTCCCTTATATTAGTAGTCCTACATTTCTCATCCTTATGGATCATCTGAAGACAGTTGTATTGTTAGTTCTGTCCGGTGCACTGTCTTTAGAGGTCGTGTTTTGTTTACAATGGTTTCTTGTTTTCAGTAATTTAAAACCTCGTTTAACCAAATAAAACGTTCTAATCACAACTAATAACACGTCCCCTAGTTATATAACCAAACAGTAAAGAACAAATCATGAAGTTAACTATAAAATAATAGAAACACAATTTTGTCGACACTAGCGATCAGTGTCACCGGACATGAACTAAACACGAAAAACGAGCTTCAAAGTTTACAATGGGGATGCAAAGTTTACTTGTGTTGGTTAGTCTATGGTGCATAAAGACTATAATGCATTTTCCACCCTAATAGTCATAAGAATAATGTTAAATATACTTCTAAATATATTTATTTTATCGACTACGTTGCTCTTACTCCTAATTAATCGTAGGATACGACATTATGGTACCGATACGATATAGGTACTACACTTTCGGCAACACTGGCCAAAAATATTCTTGCTTGGCTCCCATTGGACGGCCCGCGAGGCTTCTGATTGGGAGTTAGCGAGTTCCGCCGAGGGACTGAGTTAGCGACTTCCGTACGAGGACGGAATTCGCTAACCCGGCTCTAGAGCGGGTTCCGGAGTCAGCCAATTCCGAAACCGAACAAGTTAGCGAGTTCCTCTCATCGACCAAATTTGAAGATAGGGCGTTTAACATGGGGTTAGCGAGTTCCAGAGTTAGCCAATTCCGCGGACCCGGTAGCAGCACCAGTCATGGACTATTTAGATGATATTTTTCAGTTGAAACACAACAGTGATCATAAATGTGTTCCTGAGACTTTGCTGCAAAACATTAGTTTCCCTAAAATGGCTATATTACGATAACCTCGTCCAACTAAATCAAAGTTAAATTCAATATTACATTGTAAACTATATGTCTGTTGATTTTATGAGATTTTGGTTTCCAAACAATGCTATCAGAACATAAAAATGTATAGGAAAACCAGGAAAATTACAACAAAAACTAAGTTTTATTTGATGTTTACTACAAATACCGGGATTTATCTTTGTTATATATTGTCTTATTATTCAAAATTAGCCTAATTAATAAAATAGTGACAACATTACAGTTAAAATTCAAAAACAGGTAATGGAATTAAAAGGCAAACATGAAATATGAATTATTGGCCTAGCACTGAAAGGGTTAAGGTCGTCTTGCTACCAAATTCCAAAGGAGGGGAGATAGAACCCCACTCTGGGGGCAACCTCGAGTAGTTCTTGCCTCGATTATATCATTATGGAGAGCCTGACCATAATGAAGCAAGGACTTTGGGCCGTCGACACACGGGAAGACTGTTTTCCAACTGAAATCGGCAACTAGTTGGACAAACTAGTCGCCAGCGTCCCGACCAATGTAGTTAAGTGGGACAGTACACACGGTGAGACTGCGATGCGACCAGTTGAGGACCAGTTCGGCGATCAGTCGTTAAGCAACCTGACCTGCCGGTTGCTAGGTGATTTCAGTCGCCTGGTTTGAACAACTTTTGAACAACGCATATTTGTATTGCGCTTTTCAAGGATCGGGCATACCAACTGCGATAACTCTTCGTAAGTACTTTTTGACATCCTGTTCATAGGGGGTAGCGGATTTCTACCCCCGGATATTTACCCCCATGAAAAAACGCCTACGTCATTTTGACGTCACGAGGGGCGGGGCTTATACACGTTCGAGAAACAGCCCGCGACTGGAAATCTACCCCCGGACATCTACCCCCGGACATCTACCCCCGGAAATCTACCCCCGTGGTCAGCTCTGCCGTGTATCGGCCAATATTCATTATGTTGTATAATTGATTTTATAAATTGCTTTACCTTCTTATATCCAGTAGTAAACATGCGATATGTCGATGTCTGTTTTAACACTATCCATATTTATAATTCAATAAGTTGTAACAGTACTTTTCAACCCGACCTACTTCACAGATTTTTACGATTGAGGTGTCTTTTAAAAGCTTAAGATCTAGCGCAGCACAAAATGGTAATTAAAAGGATATTTCGATTATGGCTTCAAAAGGTTGACCCCAAAGCCTTTGATTTATTCCTAGAAGGTGCTTCCAATGGTTGACCAACTTTTACAAACACTATACAGTAACAGTTTAAAAGTGAAATGTGAGTAGTACTCATCAGATTTGTAATTTTTCATCAATAAAAGTTAGGTGTATAATGGCAAATTTTTCATATCACCTAGTAGTAAAAAAATTTAGTTTCTAAGATTTTAGATGCGTACTAAGAAAAGATTTTAAAGTATTTTCTCTTAAAGACCTAAAATAAGACAATTATTCAAATTCAAAATAATGGCCACATTCAATTTTTTAAGCATAGCCTAATAAATCTTTTATATCTTATCTTTTTATACATATATACGCCTAAATACCCCTATTGCAGCACATTCGTATATTCAGGGAATCTATAAAGTCTTATTGGAAAATCCTGCCTTAAAACAAAACTTGTCAACTTATTTCCATAAAGCTGGGTTTTCCTAGGCGCGTAGTCGGCCAGCGGAGAGAGGAACGCGGAGAGCGGACTCAGCTTGTCTTAGGCAATTTAATGTTTCCTAGCAGCGGAGCGGAATGCCATGTTAATTTCAATTCCGCTCTCCGCTGGCCGACTCCGCGCCTAGGAAAACCCAGCTTTAATAAGTGTTCAAAAGATTCATTCATAAGAATACCATATAGGAAGTGAATAAGCAGGTTTCCTGCCAGTAAAATGTTAAAATGAGGAATTTAATGTAATATACAGAACAGAATTAGGTGAAACCCGTCGACATTGACGGTTACTTTCAAGGCTTATGCTAATTCATATAACTGCGATAAATAGATTGAAGTAATACAAATTTTGAGCATTTAGCTCTTTAGCTTTTTTTTTTTATGAGTAATAAGTGTAAAAGCAATAATGACTATTGCGTTAGTTACAAAATATGGTTGATAATTCAATGAATAAAATAATTCCCATACCGTACGTCATAAGAGTTATAATTAACCGGTTTCTCTTCTTTTGGAAGAACCTTTAAATAGTATTAAAATCGTATTAGTCAATCTTTTTTTTTGATAAACACTTTCGATCCGCGCTCATGCATGTGCCGTTAACTGTTACTGTATGTGAAAATAACAATGGGGGTTGAAAAGGACTGTTACAACTTATTGAATTATAAATATGGATAATGTTAAAACAGACATCGACATATCGCATGTTTACTACTGGATATAAGAAGGTAAAACAATTTATAAAATCAATTATACAACATAATGAATATTGGCCGATACAGGCAGAGCTGACCACGGGGGGTAGATTTCCGGGGGTAGATTTCCGGGGGTAGATGTCCGGGGGTAGATGTCCGGGGGTAGATGTCTGGGGGTAGATGTCCGGGGGTAGATTTCCAGTCGCGGGCTGTTTCTCAAACGTGTATAAGCCCCGCCCCTCGTGACGTCAAAATGACGTAGGCGTTTTTTCATGGGGGTAAATATCCGGGGGTAGAAATCCGGCGACCCGTTCATAGACTGAAATTTTGCGTCCGTTTCTTTTAATGCAGCGGCAGCTACATAGAGCCTACATTTAATATTTGTTTTAACATAAGGATGTACCCAATACCTTCTACGTTCTTGATTGTCTATTATTAAAACACCAGGGCTTCTACCACTCATTTCAAACACCATACACAGTACACAGTATCGTTATAACAAAATTAGAACTCATTTACTGTCTCAACTCAACTACAGTTGCGCCCGTGTGCGGATTTAACCAACGCAACTGCAATCGTAATCTCGTCACAAAAAAGTTGGTTCAACTTTAGTTGGGTTTCAGTCTTCCCTTACTGTGAAGCAAGGATTTAATCCACTTACATATAATCTTGTGAAATCCTCTAGATCTCACCGCATTAAGAATTCCTGGAGTGCCAGTGTTATCAAAAGCACCCTGATATCAAGAAAGGCACCCAGGGCTGCTCTCTAGAGCTTTCTTAAGTCTACTTACGAGTTGGTGCAGTGCTGTCTCGCATGATCTTCCTGCGACGTACGCATGCTGATTAGTATGAATGGGGTTTGTCCTGAGAGCTGTATCCATCATATATCTTAAGACCAATTTTTCTAGGATCTTCAGGAAGAAAGAAGATAGAGAAATGGGTCTGAATGACTTGGAATCAGTGTAACTATCCCTCCCTGGTTTAGAAATAAATGCAATACGAGAATTACTCCACCCTGAGGGAATGTGTCCCAAAGCTAAGCTTGCTCTGAAAAGTTTACAGAGTGAGAGAATTATAATGTCTAGACCTTCCTGTATGCAAACAGGCCTTACCTCATCAGGACCCGGCGATTTGAAGGGTCGTACGTAATAAACTGACAGCCCATCTGCGGCAAGCAGTGCTCCACATAGAATGGGTGGCATGACGGCCCAGATTTGGCCGCTCAGAACTCACCTCCTCCTGTTGCACTTCAGTAACAATACAACCAGGGAAATGAGTTTTAGACATAACCTTAAGTATATCAGTAGGTTCTAAAGCCATAGCACCATTCGAACCCTCATCGGCACCAAGAGTAACATGCCTATTTCCAGCAAGAACCTTGTGTATTCCAGAAGTGTCTAATACTTTCTAAATTACTACAAAAGTTATTCTAGGATAGCATTTTGGCTTTTCCGTACTGCATGTTTATCAGATATATGTGTGTTTTCAGACATCTAAATTAATAGATAATTTGCGTGCTAGCTTTAATCCTCGGAGGTGCGACTGGTGTGAGCGTCAAGTGGTGTAGCCAGTCAACCATCCCATGCGGTGTTACCACTTAGAACACTGCGGCCTTAGTTAAAGGCGGCCGTGCTAATACACTAAGCTAGTTTACAAGCAGCATGTTAAAAATCCAGCTAGTTAGTAGCTTCTTGACTCATGGTGTGTAATATATAGCCTTTAAAACAGTCGCAATGATTATTATTGTAAAAACCCCCAACAAATCAAAATACTCTTGGGGTGTGTATGTCAGTTGTCAATTTATTTTAAATTATCAAACTAAGTTAGTTCACCAGTTGTGAACTAAAAGGTAGATACCAAAAAAACATAAGCCAAATAAAGGTAGAAAATAATACTCTAACGAGTTCTTTTTCACTTTTACTTTCACTGTACACTTTGTATAGAACAAAATACATCAAAAAATTAAAACAGAATAAATATTTCTTTGTTAACCCCATCAATTAATAACTAGCTGGCAAAGACCGCAGAACGCTTGTCTCGATTCTTGCCCCTTGTTATACATCGTGCCTTGAAGTTGGCTTGGTTCATCAAATGCTGAAAAAATAAAATGTGAGTTAGTTTTATGGAGTTAATTTAGCAAGAATGTTGATTTCGGTGTTTTATAGGCATTTCCTTTCCACCTCAAAAAGTTAAAATATCTCAAGTTATCACAATGTTCTAGAATCTGGAATCTGATCGGAATTTCAGGCAAGACAATTTCAGAACACAGGCTATTAACATTGTCGGAGACCAATTGTAGAGTATATGATTATGGTACATTATATTATTCTGGCTACAAAACAATCTACATAAACTCTGTCACAAAAACAACATTTATTCCTACCAGTCTTGTGTACGTATATTTGTATCCATTTAATTTATCACAGTCCTTAATTTTCAATGGTACAAAGAGGAGTATTCTACTATAAGTAACTCACTGAAAATGAGCAATAAATATTACAAAATATAAATTCTCGAGCAATCAATATTACTAAAACAGTTTTCACAGAGTATACTTTGAATAAATGCAGTCAATCAAACAAATACTACTGGATGAAATTACCCTCTCAATCTTGGACTGTTTGTGGGCAGCGAGGTTCAAGTGGACCAACTTTTCCCCCAGCTCAAACACTTCGCGCAGCAAATCATTTTCTGACAGATGGAGATTCATCCCTGAGCCAAGAACCTGAACAAAGATTATGATTATAAAATTGTCTTTGGCAAATTATATACAAGCAACCCTAATTGTTGATTATGTAGCGTAGTATTAGTTACCATGTGATTTTGCAATACAAATAGTTGATATTGAACAATTTAAGGTTAAAATTTAACTTGAAATCCATCAATAGAAATCTAGGACGGATTTAAAGTATTTAAACTTTTGAGAAAACTAAGCCATACACCTATCAACCGCACACATGAATGAAATGGGGCAAACTCTGTAGTGTGGTCTTTTTATGCTGTGATGGCAAGGGTTTTTTTATGGGTCGCGCAACATCCATATATAAATCCCAAAGTACCCATGAACTTTTGAGAAAACTAAAAGTCGGACCCCATAAACCACATACTTAAAATTAAAATATTCGTCATGACAAGAAACCTTGCGCAAAACATTATTTCATAAATTGCCCTTTAAGGTCGTAATTCCTTTCTAAAGGGAACTTTCCATATACCTAATGTTAAGAATACCTCAGCTGTACTTTATTTGTTTGTTATTCTTTCAATGCATTACCTTATTAAAATCAGGTGTGATTATTTATTTGTTTGTATTACTGTATTCTGTTTTGCTTATTTCAGCTTAACCCAATCAACAGTTTTATGAATACTTATGAAGTCAAATGGGAAGCCCGTGGGTAACAGCTAGTTTTTTATAACACATTTTTATACAGTAAATAAGTTTGTAAATACATCATATTACACATAATTTTTTTCAGCAAAAAACAAGAAATAATATTATATAAGTTTTAGATATAAAATTTAAATTTACAAATATTTTTTGTATATTTACTAAGCGGAAATATTTTAAATTTATATGCATATATATTCCGTACAGAGATAGGTCAGTAACACTTTTCCAAAGTTGGTACCGGTACCGGTTCTTAGCCAAAATCGGTTCTCGGTTCCGGTACCATTGGTACCTTATTTCAATTTTTTAAAGGCTACTTAATTTTTATTTTTAAAACAAAATATCCACACAGTATTTCAATTTTACAGTGTTTTGCATTAGTATTAGGTTGGTACAAAACTTAAGGGATTACAGCCCGTCTTTATGTCTTTCTATTAAGTATTTGTGAGGTAGGCTATTAGGGTGTTTTTCAAGTAAAATAATGTATGCAGCAATGAAACATTCGAACTAGCCAATTTCCAAGTGTAAACCCTTCTTATCACATCAAATAACTACCATATTTAAGGTACTATATATAGCGGTGTGCCAGCCTGATAGTTTCAATCCAGCCAACTCAAAGCAATATTCGTGATAATCGTCGTATTCTGAGATCACTGCAAAATCCGAAATATATTTCTCAATTAAATTACTGAAACATCATCACTGTTTTTAACGGTCGTAGCAAGATCATGAACATCTTCCGCGGCCGTGTAGACATCATCAACATCTTCCACAATTACGGCAACATCATGAACATCACTCACGGTCGTGTAGACGCCATCATCGTCTCCCGTGATTGCGGCAAAATCATGAACATCTCCCGCAGCCGTGTAGTTAAAATCATGAACTCCAGCGGTCACGGAAACGTCTTCGTCGTCGTCCACGATTGCGGCAAAATCATGAACATCTCTTGTGGCCATGTTGACGTCATCGTCGTGTCCCGGTTTGTGGTATCGTCATCATCAACATCCACGATCGCGGCAAAATCATCTCCCGCGACCATGGAAAGGTCATCATCGCGATTGCGACAATATCGGTAATTTTTCGGAATTATCGGTACCGACTTTTCACCATCAGTTCTTGGATCCGGTTCTTTTGTCTAGAACCTGCAGTACCGACCCATCACTAATTCCGTATTATAACACAAATCAATGGAATTAAAATAATTTTTCAAAATATACAAACTGTTCACAATTTCATAAGGAAAAGAATGATATATAATAAATATATGTACCTTGTTCCTAAAAAAGTTATATATAACGGTTTTTATTACCATAACCATATACATATTCGTTGTACAACCTACTTGAATACTTGAAGCGAAACATTCAGGTCTAACTTCATACAAGAAATAATTTATAAAATTCTCAAGTTATAATATTACATACCAATAATATATTACATTTCAAGTTATATTATTTCAAGGTAGGCTATATTAAATTTCAATAAAAAATCAAACTTGTAACGCCAAAACACCGAAACTAACCAAACACAACGCGAAATAAGCAACAACAGGAGCCCGTAATAAGCGACTGCGTCATCATGACAATGTCGTCAGATGATGCGTGTTTTTCATAGAGTTTTAAGTTTTCCCAAAGGCGTCCAAATAGTTAAAACGCACATCAGTCGACAGATTATTCATTTCTGAACCGAATAAATACTATTTTAAGTGAAATTAGTTTCATTTTTGTGCAAAAATCGGCTCGGGCGCTGCCATTTTGGCCGCAGCGTAAGTCGCTCGATATTGGGCGCATTCCAGCTAGAGGGTTAAATCCTAATCCTATTTTGTTAAAATTAATTGTATTTTCAACTATTCCAGTCTATCATCGATATTCAGTTGGATCCCAAATTATTGTTATTTTGAGGCTGCCTAAATTACAGCATTTAAATAGGCTAAATAATATTTATTTAATGAAACCAAGGAGGATACTTGAATAATTCTTCGACTAGGCACCTTGTAGGTGGGGAAATTAAAAATACTTTTAATAGAACTGTAAATATCACCGCCTTGTTACAAATTTAATTATACTAGAGGACTGTCCGGTAGTCGAAAACTCAACCAAATATACAACGTAATGTACAGATTTCTTTATTTTCACCCCACTTTTTTTTAAGATTTCATTGTTATTTTATCACCAGCATTGCAACCCATAAGGCCCATGTTAATTTTTTTTTAACATTAAATTAATTTTTGTGCTTTATAATCTTTTTCACTTTATAAAGGGATTCCGCACATTTACAGGAAAATATCTTTCTAACAATATGCGTAGATTTTCCCTGCGATGTACACGAGCTGAGAAAAAAAGTTTTAAAGAAACATACTTGCCTATTAATATATAGATTATTTAGATTTGAATTGTACACTTAACATCATATAGCCTATATCATAAATATAAATGAAGTAAAAAATATCGCAGTAAAATAATACCTAGGCCTAAGTTTAGATGCGGAAAAGCCTATTATCTTAACTGTGTTTCTTTCTTGACACAATCCTCTCAGTATACAATTACTTGTTTCATTAGTGTCAATGGAGATGTGTTTGCTTCATTGCTACCAGCTTGTGTGTAAACAATGTTACAAACAATAATAATGACACAAAAAAGTAGGGATGGACGGGATTGAATTTTTAGATCGGGACGGGACGGGACGGGATTTTTATTTCCTTCCTGATTTTCGGGACGGGACGGGACGGGATTTTTTTCTGTGCATAAAAAGAAAGTACTGTATTGCAGTTACCAAAAAAGACATACGAAATCAATTTTTTACCATTTGTGGCACTGATCTATAAAAACCAAAAAATGGGAAACAATTTACAGGTACCTATAGAAACTTGTGACTCGCGGGTCATGGGGTGATCGTCTGTATGACTCACGGTCAACGGTCATGGCGCGATCGTCGTCATGACTCGCGGTCACGGCGCGATCGTCGGTATGACTTCGCGGTCACGGGGTTATCGTCGGTATGACTCCACGGTCACGGCGCGATCGTCGTCATGACTCGCGGTCACGGGGTTATCGTCGGTATGACTCCACGGTCACGGCGCGATCGTCGTCATGACTCGCGGTCACGGCGCAATCGTCGGTATGACTCGCGGTCACGGGGTTATCGTCGGTATGACTCGCGAACACGGCTCGATCGTCGGTATGACTCGCGGTCACGGCGCGATCGTCGGTAGGACTCCGCGGTCACGGCGCGATCGTCGGTAGGACTCCGCGGTCACGGCGCGATCGTCGGTAGGACTCCGCGGTCACGGCGCGATCGTCGGTAGGACTCCGCGGTCACGGCGCGATCGTCGGTATGACTCGCGGTCACGGCGCGGTCGTCGGTAGGACTCCGCGGTCACGGCGTAATCGTCGAAATGACTTCGTCTCCTGCGTTCGCGGACCTATCGCTCGCAATAACGGCGTTATCGGCACTCGCGAAGCGGAAAAATCGCCGACGATCGGACCAAATCCCGTCCCGAAAAATTCCCGAGTCAAATGTAATCCCGTCCCGATAATCGGGAATATTTTTTTCCCGAAAAATTCCCGAAATTTCGGGACCCGTCCATCCCTACAAAAAAGTCATCATTTTCAAAAATATAAGTGCTAAAACTTCCTATTTCGAAACTGTTGAATCTCGAAACTCACCTATCGAATCTCGAAACCGAAATTTTACTGAAGTTTTGATGGTTTTGAGATTTGGTTTTGACACCCATTTTTACAGACAGCGAGGCTTCACTCAAAGCGCTTGACTACTGCGAGTTCAATTCCAAGGTGGTTTGGGACTGCCTCGCTGCAGTATGCGACCTGGGCAGCCGCAACACGGTAACACTGTTGGTTTCCTCGACACTCAGGGATAGAAGGGAACGAGGTGGCTGATAGGTCTTTTGCAATATGTTACATAAAAAGAATAGCAATACCTGACAAAATGCATCATATTGTTTCTTTTTGCACCATGAATCCAGGGCCAGTGTCTCCTGGCCAAACCTCACTTGGATGTTGGGCGGCATGTCATCCTGTAAAACAATAATGTTAATAAAAGTGTTTACTTTCCTTCAAAGCAAACTTTAAAAAATTAGTATGGTCAAAAAAATTCTGACGAAATATTTTAGGCATGATCAAATAATTGAATACACACAAAAGTGGAATTGAACTTTTTAAACGTCACCATAATTACCGAAACTACAATGGATTATGAGAAATGATTAATAACTGTGAAGATGATGATGGGTAATGATTTAAGTTCGAAGCGAGTTTGGTAATTTTGTGTAAAACATATTGTATTTCCAGAAACTATGTCATGAATACAAGATTAAGACCTACAACTAAGAAGGTAGAGTTAAGGGATGAAAAGAGATCTATGTTGAAGATTTTTTTTATTTTTTATTCAGGGTTGTAATGAATAATATAGAATCTTTGACTCCTAAATACACCACTTTGTGATCATTTTCTTTCCATGTTCAAGGCCAGTTTTGGAATGAAAAAGAATATCAGTTAAACTGAGCCATTCAGATACGAGTTCTGACGTAAGATACAGTTTCCTTGCTAATATACCAAATTATTTGTAAAAGTTAAAGGACAACTACTACATCATTTTCAGGTCCTTATCAACTATTATAGTACGTAATACTAGAGAAAATAGAAACTCAATCAATAGTAGCAAGCTCTAAGAGAGGTACTCTTTCAGTAACAACTATACAACTGGTCCATAAACATGGGATGACTGCTTCTAAGTTTTAAGTCAAAAGTTGAATCCGACCATATACTGTGTTGGTAACATAACATTATACCTCTTTCAAAAACTATACAAAAATTGAGGCGCTTACAAAATGTCACAGCAATGTCTTGACAAAATAGATAATGCTTGAAGTTATCACATTTTTGCAGGACATTTCACAAAACAGTGAACAGCTTGAATTTGTAAGCATGTTAAATTAAACACACTAGCCCCAATGGCAGTACCTCAACATATTTTAGTATGTCACGAAAGCTGCTTCGCTGAGTCTTGCGGTCCTTCTTGGCACGGTACTTGTGCGAGTCGGTGGCCAGCTGACGCAGTTTGTCAATCAGCTGTTCGCTGGCCTCCCACTCGTAGTCGTCGTCATACTGTCTGCCTCGCTCCAACATGAGTGCTATCACTTCACCAGCAGCCATCCTCACCTCCAGATGTGGGGAGTCCAAGAGACCCACAATCTGGCCCAGGTTACTGAACAACAGTAGTGTCAATGTAAATCAATATATCACAGCAACTAATTAATAAAGGAAATTCTACCCTCTCCTCTCTCCTCCACAGGGACAGAGTGTTTCTCCTCTCTCCTCAAGTGTTCTCTGACAGTTGTAGATAGCTATCAAAAGTGGTTGATCTGTATTTTTCCTACAGTCACCAGACAAAGTTGGCTTCCTTGTACTGTTTATAGTACAGAAAGCTGCTAATTGCTGCATATTTATACTTTGCCGTACGGTTTATACTTTGTCGTACGGTTTATACTTTGCCGCACATCAGGATTCCAACGAAACAACACAAAACCGGGTGGTTCTATTATGCACGTAATCCGTGTACGCTTGGAAATAGGTTGGCAACACTTAAAGATAATAATACTATGAGCAGCTGATTGACTATTATAACTATGATTTAACCTGTCATTTCGTGTTTAAAGGTTTGGTATTTCTGAACTTTCTGGACTTTTCTTTTAAACGTTTTTTAAACATTCCTACGATCTTAATAAAGAAGAAAATACCTTTAAAGCATTTTTTAGGCGCGGAAACCACTTCAAATTACAAAAACACACGGAACTATATTCTCAAAACGTGGAGCACATTTCTTGCTGAGGAAAAATAGCGGAGTGATACGGACCGGGTACTACTTTCTCTAGGGCACCTATTTGTGTTGCCAGCTGAACCTAAAAACGTGTTGTATAGTGTTTGAAAGACAAATTATTTATATGCTTTATACAGGGTGTCTACTACATTCTGGATAAAAAAATTCATGGACAATTCCCGTACATTTAAGGACAATTTGCCGTAACCTTTGTCGGTGTCATTAGGCCTACCAAATAATTTTCCTGATTTGTCAAACTGTATTAATCTTGTTATTCACTGTAGTTGTACCAGAGAGAAAAGTAAATAATAATAGGTAAGAGTTAAAAATTTCAAAATAGAAATTTATTGAAAGCAAACAAACATAGGCCTACCATAAATACTTACCATAAATACCTACCATAAATACCATAGTATACTTTAGGTAAAGCTTTTATAGTGTAACAGAGAAACGCAATCATTGTCTCCTGCGATAGCGACAAATATCTCCATCGGTCATGTAAACTTCATAACATAGCTTATCCGATCCAGGCCGATTAATTTGGCATGATTCGCCCTGGCACAATGTTAGGTTCTCGACAACTTTTGAAAAAAATCTTTAATGCATATTGTTACTCAATTCTTAATAAAAAATCAAGGTATGGTAAGCGGCTATTAATAAGCAATAAGCACAGAGTAAGATTATTGTATTTTCATTTGCAAAGTTAATATCGACACATAGCAATCATGAGTTGTTTATCTTAGGCTCAATTACATTTTCTTAATATATTTTACAGCTCTTTCAAGAATCAAAATACCCAGGCCTAAACCTAATTATTTAGGAGGGCAAACTATAACTATAAACTGAGTAACAAACAATGAGGTTATAATAGCAGCAAAGTTACTATCATCATTCTAGTTCACACAAGATTTTGATTGCTTAAAGCATAACTCAATAAATAAATATATGGGAAACAAAAAACATTGAAACCTGAATAGCCAACAATATAAGACAAAGATACAGAAAATGCAATGACATAATTTGAAACCAAACAGGCCTACATAGTGATAAAACATTAATGCAAACAACAATGCTTGTGGTTTTGTCAATTGAAAGATAAAATGTCCATAAAAAAGGGGTTAACTTACAAAATAAGACTGTATATTATTTACATGTTTAATATGAAACCATAAACAGTTTTATGGCACTAGGCACTGGCCCAAATTGAGAAGTGGAATTTAACAGCCATTATAAAGCTATTATTTTCACAAAATAGGTTTGGATCTAATAATAATTACCCTAGTAATAAAAAAGAAGTTGTAAAGGAATAAAAGTGATACAACTTTTATGAGCTAGCTGCTGAGTCAACAGTTCTTGGGGGTCCGCGGAATTGGCTAACTCTGGAACTCGCTAACCCCATGTTAAACGCCCTATCTTCAAATTTGGTCGATGAGAGGAACTCGCTAACTTGTTCGGTTTCGGAATTGGCTAACTCCGGAACCCGCTAACCCGCTCTAGAGCCGGGTTAGCGAATTCCGTCCTCGTACGGAAGTCGCTAACTCGGTCCCTCGGCGGAACTCGCTAACTCCCAATCAGAAGCCTCTCGCGACGTCCAATGGGAGCCAAGCACGAAGATTGTTGGCCAGTGTTGCCGAAAGTGTAGTACCTACGATCGTATCGGTACCATAATATCGTATCCTACGAATAATTAGGAGTAAGAGCAAAGTAGTCGATAAAATAAATATATATTCGAAAGTATGTTTAATATAATTCTTATGAATACTATTAGGGTGGAAAATGCATTATAGTCTTACCATAGACTAACCAACACAAGTAAACATTACATCCCATTGTACATTTTGAAGCTCGTTTTTCGCGTCTAGTTCATGTCCGGTGACACTGATCGCTAGTGTCGTCGAAATTGTGTTTCTATTCTATTATTTTATAGTTGATTTCATGATTTGTTCTCTACTGTTTGGTTATATAACTAGGGGACGTGTTATTAGTTATGATTAGAACGTTTTATTTAGTTAAACGAGGTTTTAAATGACTGAAAACAAGAAACAAATTGTAAACAAAACACGACCTTTACAGACATTGCACCGGACAGAACTAACAATAAAATTGTCTTCAGCAGATCTATAAGGATGAGAAATGTACTAATATAAGGGAGTATGTTTTATCTATTGTCTTCTTACTTAAATAGTAGTTTATTGGGATGCAAAAAGATAGTACTGTACATTTAATTTGGATCTTTTACAAGTTATGAAAACTTGTCCTTGATAGGTTATAATATTTGTTTCTTTAAAGGCCTATATTATATCTGTCGTGCGAGTGTTAACAATAGTTTGGTTCTTCGTAATATTTCTGTATTTATTACCAAAATAATTCCGAATCATAGTATTAGTAAACAAATAAAATAGTTTCGATATTTTTGTATAGCAGGCACATGATATACCTAGGTACATTAATGAATAACGAAAATCTAAAACGTTAACACTCTATTACAATATTGCGTCTTTACTTTAGCCAAGAAAATCTATATATACAGCCAAAAGTACCCATGAACTTTTGAGAAAACTATAAGTCACACCCCCATAAACCATATACTTAAAATGTTCGTCATGACGAGAAACCTTGCGCAAAATTGTCCATTTCTTCATAAATTGCCCTTTAAGGTCATAATTGCTTCCCAAAGGGAACTTTCCATATACCTTATGTTAAAAATACCTCAGCTGTTCTTATTTGTATGTTATTGTTTGTAATGCTGTAATCTGTTTTGTTTATTTCAGCTTAACTTAACCAATCAATAGTTTTATTAATACTAATGAAGTCAAACGGGTTGAAGCCCGTGGGTAACAGCTAGTTAATTTAAATGTTGTTACATTATGGTGTTAGGAAACATATGATCTATTAACCAAAATTGAAGCAGTAATGTAATAGTCTATCCTATTCGAGGCAACCAACAATTAGACATTGTAAAAAAGCTCCAGTAATTGCCGTAGACTTTAAGGACCTTGAATTTTGAGGATTAACTTCCCGATAAAATTTACACGTTAAACGTCATTACAGAAATACATTTTAGTAGTGTTAAATATATTATTAAATAGAGCTATTGAATATAAATTAGTATTAATCAGTACATTATAAAGTGGTAATGTATTGATGGATTATATTAAAAAATAGTCTATGCAAAAATACAATTTGTAAATTTCTGTTATCGTAGGCTATTAGTGTAGAACGGGTCATCATCTTAATTTTGTTTGATTAATATTAATTTTACGTCTTTCATTACTTTTGAAAAGTCTGGAGTTTTTATGGTTCTAAATGGACCCAGGCGTTCTTGTTTGCTATCATTTTGATGAATGGTGGCCATAGCTAAAATTAGCCGATCTTATCCAACAACAAAGCTATTGTCTATTGCGTAGCTCAATACCGGGGAACAAGGAACCGAGCAATGGCTTGATATAGTATATTTCGATTGTAAAAGTAATATAAAGGAAACTTAACACTAAAATCAGGAATATCCGTCAAGTCGTCGATTAAGAATCGTGAAATAAAATAAGCCTGTCACGTTTTAATATAAGAATATTATATATTCTTCTATTATTTACTAGTGGGGCTTAGGTTTATCATCTAAAAACTGTTATTAAAACATGTAACATTATTACTCAATAATTCAACAAATTTTTGAAATAATTAGGCAACTAGCTTTTACTAGTAGGCCTACAATGCGTTGGTTTAAACTATTAGGCCTAGATTTACAGCTATTCTATAAATTGTTATGAAACGTAGCCTATGTCATATTTTTTCACGGATGTTGGACGATTCAACGACGAACCTTTAATTTTAAATTTATGAATTAGTTATGAAAGTGGTTTTGGTTTATTACGACATCACGATGAAATTTGTTTTCCGTGTTTGAGAACTTGCGTGTATTATAGCTTAATTTCATGGAAGTTTAATTGGTACTACTGGATAATCAATAATTTTTCATATTCTATTTTTTCCTATAATACTGGCATTTATATTTAAGATCGAAATCATAAACATTTAATTGGCCGTTGTACAGTAAAATGAAAAAAAAAATTATTAATGATTTCTTTAATTGCTTTTTAATTACTTTGGGCTAGGTAGCTGTTAAAAGTGGAATTGATAACAAAAAAACAATAACATTTACTGTATCTTTATTGACACTGACATTTTGAAATACAATTATTTCGTCGTACAAGGTTGGCAAAGCTCCGTGCAGTGGGCGCGGCCGGGTTAGCGACTTCCAGAGTTAACGAATTCCGCCGCGTGACATAATCGAGTTAGCGGGTTCCGGAGTTAGCCAATTCCTGTCTGAGACGGTTAGCCAGTTCCAGAGTTAGCCAGTTCCGACACACGACCGAGTTAGCGAGTTCCTGAGTTAGCCAATTCCTACGTCTCGTTCTTGGAAGTACTTGACTTGACACTTGATTGTCGTGATAAAATATTAATGGGTTTGAGATTGCTAATGGGATTTTTATTGCATAATTACTCTAGTAATAAATTATGAAAATGTAAACAAACATCTGATAAACCTTTTATGTGCTCCTAACCAAATAGCGATCAATAAAATTATGGCCCATTAAAAATTTAAGGACATAGTCTGGCATTTAAGGACAATTCCCGTACATTTCATGGCCAGTAAAAATTTAAGTACAATTCCCGGATTTCCCGGTTTGGTAGACACCCTGTTTATAGTGACTGTTGGAAAAATATAATGTGTAACACGAGTGCAAAAGGCCTTTGCTGCACTCGAGATCATTCCGCACTCGCCGATTGCTCTTGTGTGCAGCAAAGTGCCACTTTACCCACTAGTTACACAAATAGCTATTGTTTTGGTCATTTTAGTTTTAAGTTAGCGTTAGTAAATTGACAAGAGTCATCCTGTAAAACAGTTTGTACTGAAGAGCGCTTGCTAATAAGACATTTTTATATAAAAAAAAAAATATTTATAACAAATATGGCGGATCCAAGATGGCGGCCAAAAACACATTCCCTATCGAAATGAAGTACTAACCACCCAAAACATATCGCCATTTTTAATCCTGTTTTTAGGGGGTTTCCCGTAGACCGATTTTGGCCAACTTTAGTATGTAACACTTCACACCCAACACTACAAAAGAAACCATAACACGTTTTCTTGCATTTTTTAAACGATCTCTGTGTCTGTTTTTTTTTAGCAAATTTCCCTATAGGGAAGTAGCTATTACCGTAAGTGGCACGGTAAGGCCTATGTCCGGGACGGATTTACTTTTTTATTTTTATGTCCCCAGAGGCCAAAATCACCATTCGTTCAAATTTATATTATATTTAAATACAGGGTGTTTTTAAAAGAATGCCGGGATTTTAAATGGTAGTTGCTTGGATACTATTCAAGGTAACTAAACGTTTTATACGTCAAATTGAAGCTAAAATAACTAAGTTTTGTTTCCCGTGTAGCAAGGGAGGAAACTTTGACCTTGGTATGCGTAAAACAGGTGCGGGGTGATGGGCCGCTATTGTGACTCATACGCCTGATGCCAGTGGCCAGTACGACATTTACGGCGCAACAGAAGGCGCAGAGTTTATACCCATTGCTAAATTAAACTAAATTTAAATCTACTTGATGATAAAGAAACTTAAAGTTGGTTTAATGAGTTTCGTGGCACCGAAATGTTTTGAAAAGACATTCAGCTGGCCGGCTAAAAAAAAGCGATGACATAGTCGAAGAAATCAACAATTCTGCATAAGAAGCCCGAAAAAATCGATTGCCCGACGAAGTCTTCAGTTTAACGAACCTAAATTGGTCACTTTATGATGTTATCTATAAAATATAGAGTCTTTGTGCCGAAAAAGATTCAGTTAAGACATCAGATAAACCTGCCGATCGCCCTACGCGTACGGACATTGCCAGTTTTACGCTCATATAAGATTGATTAAAATTTGAATTTTAATCAATCGAATTGTATGAAAGAATGAGAAAAAACTTTATTCTTTTCCCTTCAATTTGACATTCAAATAGTTTAATTATCTTAAATAGTTCCCGAGCAACGACCGTTTGAAATCCTGGCATTCTTTTAAAAACACCCTGTATATATATATATACACATGTCTGTGAATTGAGTAATTTTTGTCAGATTTTTATGAAATTTGGTTAAAGGTGTAAGGCGGGATAAACTTGAATGAGTTCGCGAACCAGCATAATCGGACCATGGGACAGGGGTTTTATGGGGTAAAAATTGGGTTTTCTTATTTTTGACCCTCAAAACACAAAATTTCCCTATTTCTCTTTAGGCCTTTTTAAAGAGCTTTAAGAGCGTAAAATGGCGTAGGTTGCTTGTTTATGGATGTATTTTGATCAAACTTGGCAAATTTATTTATTTTATACTAAGCTATTAATATTTTAGTATAAAATACACTTTATTAGTTTCCTTGTAGCAGCAAACCTAGGTACTCATTAAACCTAATGTTATTTAAATAGATTTAATTGAAAATCAATTCAGACAAGTGGAAATTGCTTAGTCGGCAGGTTTGCTGCGGCGGGGGTATTTTTAGTTGCTTGGACTAAATTGATTCAGTTAATTTATTTTGAAGGTCTGTATTTCGGCCATTGTTTACGCTACATACTGGTGTTGGGCTTAAACTGTCACAAATTAATCCTCCTTTAATTTAATTATGTAATATTTTCAGTAAAACCAACCATTTCAGAGATAGAGTGAAAAATCAATGTTCATTTTTTTTTTATAAGTTGCCTTGTGACGCGCCATGGTACCTCGAGGAGAAAAACTTAGATTTTATGTTATGGGCCCAATACTATCAACATATCCAAAAATCAAAACTACCCCACCTTTTGCACAGCAACCCCCTTATTTTCTGACATATTTACAGGACAAGTTGTGAGACTTGATAATAAAAATCCACAAATAAATGATTCACTCACGGATCGTTGAAAGCGTGGATGTCAATGATGGTGAGCAGTAGACTCCAGGCTGACAAGGCTGCAGCATGGAGGTTAGCCAAGTCGGGGGTCACAGTGGCAGGAGTGCCGTCTCCCTTGCAGTACGAGCCACTGAACACTGAGAGCAACGTACGGTGAGTATCTGCCAGAGGATCTGTGGAGTCAAGGAACGCCAGCATGGCCAGGGTCCAGCAGCACTGAAATCAGAAGCATATCAATTCTATACAACATTGACATGATGTAGGCTATAGGTACAATGTACGGAATTAAGTGACCTACTGAAAGTTTTTATTGTCTACAGCAACTAAATGTCATTCAATAATTAGGATTTTAATCGGAATTGTCATAGACCTTAACAAATCAATTTCTTGAGGTAAATTATAAGTCAAGTAAGTGAATTGTGTAGCATTTAAGATACTCCAGAATTTTGTGACTTTTATATGCCAAAGTAAAGTTATCCTATATGTTTTGGTCTAATAACCTTCAGTGAAATGCCAGCTTTCATAATTGGTATTATTCATTATTAAGATTGGATGTAACTGAATCACACTGCTGAATCTAGAATCAACAATCATTATAATTATTTTAGGACTTATCAGCAACCAATGATACATAACTCCATTTTTATTTCAGTTATTTCCAGTGTTGGGGAAGCTACTTTTAAAATGTAGCTAGCTACAACTACTGCTACATTTCCAAAAAAAGTTGCTTAGCTACAATTCCGAAAAAGTAGCTAGCTACAACTACAGCTACAATGAAATGTAGCTATAGCTACAATTTTAGCTACTTTTCCAAAGATGTGATGTTACTTTTATTCCTCACACATTAGGTAAATATAAAATTAATTGCAGCTACATTTTTATTGAACAAACACTCAACAAAATGTCGGTATTGTATCGAACATTACTTGGACAACAACTTATTCCTAGATTGTATTTAATTGGTTGTCATCATAAACCTAACATTACAAGAACACAACCAAAATATTTTGGTGTTCCAACATATTTAGTACTTATTTTTAAATATTAAGCATTATTTTTAAGCATCTTGTATGCAAATTCATCAAGTTCAAAGGACATACAACCAAACTATATTTAAAAATCTCATTATATTTCTTTAATGTAAATTCTCATTAAATTAATATTCTCATTCAGATATTAATAGATATCTTATATCAACTATTAAAAACAATAAATCTGTAAAACGATTATTTAAAAATACTCTTTTGTGTTACAAAGCCTAGCCTACTGAAATGGAGTGTATTGCCTTTCTTTATTTTTAATGTTAAAAACGACATTGGTTTAACTTTTAACCACAATGATAAGTTAAGTTACTTGTTCTATGAATAACGCTACTTTAATGTCAAGAAATCGTCCTTTGTCATTATGCATAGGGCAAATTGTGCTTCAACAAACGTTGGTGAACAAAACAGTATTCAGCAACTTATCCTGAAACCGGCTTTTTAATTTAAACATGTTGAAAATTGTAAAGTAAAAAATAACATGTAGGCCTACTTGGCTATGTAACAAGTTGGCTATAGTAGGCTTGTTCTTACAAGGACTAAACAGATACTCGTATGTTCCTATTAATTGAACTTGGTATTCATTTTAGTCTAATAGCATAGCCTAGGTAGGAATTAGGTAGGAATAGTCCTTGACAAGAGCTGTTAGCAGGAGCAAACTATGCTATTTTTTCAATGTAACTTTCATGTTATACTGTATGGAGATTTTTTCGTTCAATTATTACCGTATGTAGTCTAGGCATATATTAAATTTCATTAGGTAATTTCCTCTTTGTTAATTTAAACATTTGAAAAATCTTCGTAATCCAACCAAGGAAGGGCTTGTGATTTTGAACCACAATCAACAGCTGAAGCAAAGGTTTTTAGACCAGCTTTCTCATTATTTTAAGGTTTAGTGTTGGTTTCCATCAAAACCCAAGTTGAAACTATTGATAAAATAAAGAAACTAAATTGATTAGTAATTTCCCTGTCAATCACTTGCAAGCATTCAATAGCTTCTCTTGTCACCGATAACGTTTAAACGTAGTCTGTGTCTAGCGATTTCATTTTATCTGACAGTAATCATAGAGTAGCAAATGAAGGAAATGAGAGCCAAAAATGTGGATAACACTCAGATAATGGCCTCCATGTCCACGCAACGTAGTTATGTAATAGGTAATGAAACGGCTGCAACCAGCTGTATGAAGCCATGAAAGTAGTTAGGCTAAATTTTCTTCAAAATTTCAGTTTGAAAGAGTTTGTTTCACATGAGGTTTTGATCAGGGGCGGACTGGCCCGCCGGCCCACCGTCAACATTCCAATATTTGCGCCCTCGTTAAAGGAAAAATTCATAAAAAATTTTTAAAAAATGAGACGAGATGTATTTTTTAGAAAGCAAGAGGAAAAACTTAGAGTACAAGTTTCAGCAGTGAATAGCAAAACATAAAGTCGGGTGTGAGACCTGAATAGACACTGTCGACAAGCGAGAGCAAAGCTGCTCTTCTCTCTCGTACGTGTAGGCCTACTCCGAGTGGAAGGCACTTGGTCTGAGCAACTTAAAAACAGCTGTCCTCTTCCCGCGTCATTATACGCCGAACCCGAAAAAACTGCACTGCGACCACGAGTACTAGAAAAATACCGGTATGGATCATAAACATAAACAAATGACGTTTTTGGCCCGAAAATAAACATTATTTAACATTGCTTAAATGGAACTGCCAAATCATATGTTCAATGCTCAGTATAGGATTCGGGCCAACGACATCATTTGTTTATGTTTGTGATCCATACCGGTATTTTTCTAGTATTCGTAACTGCGACTAAATCCGACATTGGTCGGTGTCACGATGTCGTCTGTGGTAAACAACTAGTGAAGATAATTTAATATTATTCATATTTGTTATAATATTTAATTATTGCTCACACTATATAACTATTTCACTTCAAGTCACATTTAATTTTTATCAATAGCAACTCAACTCTCTTGTAAAATGACGTTTGCCGTGCATGTAATAAATAAATAAATAGTGTGAGCTGCCAATTAAAATGTGACTCTCTTTAGTGAGTGTCTGATTTGTGTCTCTGTGTTGAAAGCTTCAATTTATTTTTATATTCTTTACCTACACAGGAAACATGAACGAAAGCAGTATTGTAGAATCACTACTTTTAGAAAATTTAAATAGATTTAGTGACAGTGTATTTGTTAACTTAACCATTACACAGTAAAGATTAAACAGTAAACAGTATTTTAATATGTGGCTACAGCCTATTAATTAATTATTTCAATATGCAGTATGGCACTAATTTTACCTTCTACCCAGTCTAAAATACGTAGTTCTCTCTAGGCTATTTCGTTTGTAGAAATAGGTTAGGTAGGCCTACTTTAGGGTCACAGTTTTGACTTAATTTAATGCTAAAAAGTTTAAGTCAATAAATTGGTTTTGTTCACAGTGAAAGCGTATTGTTTGTGTTACAATAATTTCATAGAAATCTAAAATATATAACTTCTGTTATTTACAGTGCCAAAAAATACAACAGTTGCAAGTTCAGGCTGTAAACAGGAAGCAAATGATTTATATTGTATGCATGCAGCTAAGCCATGCAAGGGAAAACAAAGAAAATACACAAATATAATACGAAAGAACCTAAGAAAATCATTTGTATTTTTATTTTTGTTAGGATATTTACTGTCAGAATAGCACCAAGTCGTGTGGGTAAATAGTCTAAATTTGGTAAACCAAACATTAATCAATAGCTTATCAATAGTATCAATAGCTTAGTAGTGGTTGCTTATCAATAGTTATCAGATTTCTGATTTCCACTGTTAATGCCTCTAGATTGCCTAAAAATGCGAGTTTACAGGTATAATTTTTAAAATATTTCCCGGGGGAAGACCCCCGGACCCCCTTCTGTACAGGGGGGTATTCCATACCCCCCAGACCCCCCGGTTGGCGCCTTCGGGCTGGTCAAGGTTTACGCCCTAATAGAGTACCCAGTCCGCCCCTGGTTTTGATAAAAATCGCTATATCAATCAATGTTAAAAGCGAGAAAAGTAGCGAGAAAAGTAGCTAATATTCCGCTACAACTACTTAAAAAATCTAGCTAGCTACAGCTAAAGCTACAATAATCTTAAAAAGTAGCGTAGCTACAGCTAACGCTACAAAAAAAGTAGCGCGGTAATGTAGTGTCGCTACTTGTAGCACGCTACTTCGCAACACTGGTTATTTCATATGTCTTGGTCTTAAAACACTACTAGGAATAAAGACCCTCATTTTTAGATATTGATCGTTTGAATCAGTTAAGTTACCAGTTAAGTTATCAGTTAAGTCAGTTTAGTTATACTGTATCCCTCAATCCAAAAACATAAATTTGATTATTTCTCAGATATGGAATTGGGAACTTTGGATAAGCAAATTTTATATAGTGTGCAGCGCTTCGCGCAACCGGGCTTCATGGCAAGCTCGTCGTCTGCCGTGAGTGACAGAACGTTCCCCTGACACCTTTTTCTCAACTCTCCCTCTCTTCAACCAAGAACCTCCGACAAGGGATCACCCATCTTCATCTTCCATCATGATGAGTTTGTCAATTATTAGTAATAAGTAGTGCCTAGAATAAGTTTAATAAATGTCTCGTTAAGTAAATTAACGAAGGGGGAAACCCACAAGGGTTGCCCGAAACTTCAAGTGTAGGAATCGCAAATTGAATGGCTTGGAGCCTTTTGCTCCAAGCCATGTATTTTCCACCAAAAACCATAGATATTTCCGTTCTAGAAGTATAAGTACTAATTATTTTGGTTCCACCAGCAGCATTAATAATCAATTCAGTATTTGGTAGTTAGTGTTTGGAAGGATAAATTTCATAATTTGTTTAGTTTCGATTAGCATAAATCAAAGCTGGCTAGTAAACGTTCTGGTCTGGGTAAAGATCTCCGTGCCTTGGCTCCCCAGCAACTCTTTAATTTTAACCAAATTATTGGTAGCGGATTCACGCTTACATTTGGTTAGGACTTAGCAACTCTCAACCTTACCCTGTATACTTCATATTCTCTTTCCTTAAACATCCCCCCCCCCTCCCCACTACATACTCAAATCTAATTACGTTATCCTATATGTTTTGATCTTCACCTTCAGTGAAATACCAGCCTCCATTTGAGTTATTGATTATTAAATTCAGAAGTACCTAAAGCACTCTGCTGAATCACGAACAACCCAAATTGTTTGAAAATAAAGTTATTTATCATCGATTGATGGTTAAATGATTTTGCTTGAAACATCAGCTGTAACTGTTGATTTCGACGGGTTTCACCTAGAATATTTTTAAAAGTAAAATTTAATATTTTAATTCTTCTAAGAGCAAGGTGGAATCAAAATGATTTTAATCAATAGACAAACAAATTGGTAATATTATTAATAACAGGCTCTTAAAATACAGCTACAACCATTAGAAAGTTCCAGTACTACCAACCTTAGCCCTCGCAGAAGGACTGCCAGAATTGTCTGTGATGGTGAATGTGAGTAAGGGCTTGAGGTCGTGGCACACCTGATCAGTGAGGTCACTGACTCCCAGCTGTATACACAACAATGCTGCCAACTGTGCGGCGCTCGCCTGCTCAGCCCCTCGTCCCTTCTTTAGGCACCGTTCAATACCATCACATATGGTCAGTCTCCTACAATAATTGTATGGTAAAATATTCAAGTTTGGAAGATATTATCTTTGGAAATTGACTTCTTATCCTGTTTGTATAATCTGAAGATTCTTGTGTGAATTTCATATCCCGTACATAATAAGTGGATTGATTTAGACTAGACTTTATTACAGGGATAATAACTTAACCCTGATTTCCTGAAATTTAAGTCAAATGGAATCTTTTTTAATCATTGAAGGATGTTGATGAAAAGGAATTGAGTTCAGCTAGGTTACCTGAGAAAATTATTGTGCTGGGGCAAATAAATTCACAAAGTGTGACAAAAATAACACTAATATTGATACCTAGCATAGGACTTCTTCAGAGAGTAAATTGTTAGAATCGTCAGTTTAAGCTAAAAATTTATAATAAAAGTAACCAGTATGGGAGTCAGGGGTATGATTTGATTTAAGTGATACCAATTGGTTTTTTTGGTAACAAGAATTAGGTCCTGGAAAGAATATCATATGCCAAATTCAAAAAGTAATTTAGTCTATAGGTAGGCTAATCCTTACCTGTCAATGATGAAATCCGGTATGTACTTTTTAGTCAGAGCCTGACTAACTGAATCTAGACTGTTAGTACGGCCCTGAGCCGACTTCTGTGTTATGCCGTCAATGGCTTCACACATCTTTTCCTCAAACACCTCGTCTTGCGACTGTTCGTCTACTTCGTCTCCAGCCACACCTGTGTGACATTAGGTACAACTAGTATAAGTTACCAAACTTCTTTCTCTTCCTAAAAATCTTGTTAGCAATGACTTATTTTTAGCGACTTTCCCTATAGGGAAGTAGCTATTACCGTCTATTATTAGTCTGGAACCAAATTACTTTTTCATTTTGATGTCTTGTAGTCTACTACCTGCAGGGCCGTACCTAGATACTCCTTTGTACGTGGCGAACCAGCGCAAGTGCGCCCTCCGGGGGGTCTGGGGGGTTGGAATACCCCCCTGAAAAGTGGGGGGGCCCGGGAAAAAATTTGAAATTTGAACATCAGTAAAACACATTTTTAAGCAATTCTGGCTCTTAAAACATCAAGAAATAATTCTGATTTTGACATTGAAAATTTAACTTTTTGCTATAATGATTTTTTTATGGTTTATGCTTAAATGATTGGTTAAACAATATCCATACTATTATATAAAAATCTAATGGTGTCTGTCTGTATGTGTGTTACTAATAGGTGCAAAAACTACTGAACTGACTGGGCTTAAATTTTACAAAAATATATCTATCATACCAAGGGCCATTATAGGACTATTCACATTTCGATACTGACCGTAGGCTTTGCCCCTTTGGCTTTAAAAGTTCTGAGATGAAGATTTTAAAAGTAAATATTGATTGGTCTCCATGGCTGCGATGAGAACACTAACAATGTTTGTTTACATTTGCTTTGACATTTAAATGTAAACAAGAAGAGCTGCTAAATTGCATATTTCACAATTTCAGACAGCTGATACAAAGAAATTAAATATAATATTATCCATAACTATGCGGTATAGGTTTATATTTAATCTAACGTTTTATCATGGATTATTTATTCTAAAACTATGTCAATGATTATAGAAAAAAAAGATTCTATAACCGTTGCTGTATCAACTCCGGCTCTGCTTTGGATTTTTAAAGCGTCTAAGTTATGAAAATAATGTTATTGATATGTTTTCATGAGAACAGTATGAAAATTACAATGTATAGATGTTTTGTTTGAATTTGGAGTCTACTTTAAATAAATTTGAACTGCTTAACATGTGTTAGATTAACTTAACATAGGTAACTTGCACATAACATTGTGTATGTATATTTAGGTAAATTAAGTTATTGTCTTTTGCTAAACCTATGCTGAAATTAAACTAAAGAATATCATCATTAACTAAATTGTACGTCGTTGATTTTTGTTTTCTAAAATGTGTTGTATATGTGTAACTATATTTAATTATCAAATGGTAATACAAAATACTCTTATTTTATCTTAACATAGCCTTCAGTTCACATTTACTTTATTTGAAAAAAATATCATTTGTGTTTTGCCACACCACTGATTAAATTAAACCAAGGGAAATATCATAAAACAACGCAGTACACACACTGTGTCCTTTTGTTTCTATAATCAATTAAATATCTGTTACTAATGTTTACTTAATGGTTGTGTGAAAATGTAAAGGCAATTGGACGATGGAACTGATTAAAAGAACTGGTTTGTATATTAAGTTGTTTGTTGATATTTTTGTAGTAGAATCAGAGATGAATTAAACATAATGTATTTGCTATTACATTTTTTAGTCCTTGATGCTTTGATAATCATATTACAGTAGTTTTGTCTGATGTCTTAAATGCTAAATTATTTGTTTAAAATTGTTTAAAGTATGGATATAGTTTCTTTAATATTTTAAAAGACTGTATTGATAAGGCACAACAATATTTCTAAAGTTTTTAACAGCTGACTTAGTTTTGCTAATGATTCATTGTGAGTGAAGAAACTGAAAATGGAAGGATTTGTGATTTAATATGAAGAAGAGTGAAATTAAAAAACGAATGTTCATTTAAATTTAATAATTAGTATTTTTGCAACTTCAAAATTGAAATTTAAAATGTCAATAAAATAAAAAGATATGTAATAAAGGGAGATGAAGGTAAATCATGTATGTCAAAGTTTTATTTGAAGATTTATTTGGTCAGTTTTTCTCATATCAGCCTACACAAGATTTAAAATTAATCAAAACCAAAATGGTGGTATCCACTACTTACCAAATTTAAAAGTCATAACTTAGAGGTTTCTATTAAGGCCATAAAAGTTGCATTTTCTTTCTAAAAGCGTTGGCGGATGCGTAACTATTATATGCAACAGATGTAAAGATTTTTCTATTTTGTGTCCCCTTCCCGTTGCAAAGCACGGGTACAACAGCTAGTATTTTTATAAAACATAATGATCTGTTATCCCAATTTCATCACAATGTATATTAAGGTAGTAAACAAAAGTAGGCCTATCCCTTTTTGTGGAATTTAATTTTAATAAGTAAGTTACAATAAGTACAATGTGTACAGACAGAGTTATTTACATAAGTTTTAATAGTTACAACTGTTTTCTGACTTCATCAATATTTACAATTCCTTGCTTTAACGAGAGCAAACTCATTGATTACTTCATCGAAATCAATTTTGGATGCTCTGTCATACTCGATTGATACAATTGCCAAATTTGTCAGTCGAGTTTCGCACATGCTCGATCTGAAGTAGTTTTTAATTATCTTGAGCTTGCTGAAACTACGCTCGCAAGATGCAACACTGACAGGCATCGTTAAAAATATCCGTAAGGATATTTCTACATTTGGATAAGCAGCTTTCACTCATATTTTGAAATGACCTTTAAGAGATCCAAGTGAGATGCCTTCTCCAAGTCCAAGACCTACATAGCCTAAGTAGAGTATAAGGCTTAGCGCTGAAAGTGGCACTGGGACTGGACTGAGTGGACTGGCGTGTGGAGGAGAACTGGCAAGTGACAGGCTTGCAAATCAAACAATAATACGCCCAGCGATGCCAACTTAGAATTATTAACTTTAAAACGAAAATAGTGTTATGCTTACCACCGGGCCTTGTGAGAACGTCCCTGCGCCCATTTTTCTGTACAACTACAATGGTTGACATTGTAATAATTGTTAATAAATCAATAAATTACATTAAAAAACATAAAATAATTTCATATAACCGTTATTATACCGTAACATAAGTGTAAAAACGTCAATTTCTATTTGTTTCATCTAGCTCATAAAAAAAGTAAAATTTGCCCCTCTTTCCCATTTTGCGTTCTTGCCCAACCGGCGCCCATTTTGCGCCCTTGTCTAACCTGCGCCCTTGGCAGGGGCCACCTTCGCCACAGCCTAGGTACGGCCCTGACTACCTGCACCGGGACCGTCCGTGTCGTGTGCGTGTGATAGGCCTATCAATGTCAATTAAATGTTTACTTTCCATAATTAAATGTTCGTATTTGTGTATTTATTGTGTGCGTGTGACATCCATCGATGTCTTCGTTTTTGTAACCCTGACGATGCCGTATTTACGGCGAAACATGTAGGTTGTTAACCTCAATTAACAATAGGATTACTTGACGAGGTATTGTACCATAATATCATAGTAGGCTAAAGCCATTTTCACCAATAAGCTAAAAAAACAAAAAAATAACCAAAAACTTCATGATTCTACGTAATATAGGCCTACAGACAAAATTTAAAATTGTAGGCCTATATTACCTACATAAAAATGTACCCTTTAAAAAATTATGGATACAATATTTTAAAAACAACATAGGCCTACTGTATATGTAGAATGTGTGCATTTCGTATTGAACGTTGCATTATTTTTTAGAGCGGTAAGCTTATCAGTATTATTGTGACAGGTAAAAGGCTATTTAAGCAGTGAACATGCTATATACCTTCTTCCATAACTGTAGTTTCAGAGGCCATACTGATAACGCTGGCATTGTCATTGATTGAATCTTCATCGCTAGTGCCGATGTCAGCTTTTCTACTAGCTGAAACACCTCCTAAAAAAAGTGAAATAACTTAGTTACAACATTTTAGTCCCAATCCTTTCAGTACACATGGCAAGCATGCACTAATTAACGGTGTATGCAGAGTTACATAGAAATAGGTTATTAAGAATGAATATTTAATAGAAATGTTTATCTTGAAGCCACGTTTACAAGAGGCCAGTAGAGCAGGCAGGAGGCTAACCTCTGGTGTATTCCAAGAGACAGGTAACTTGCCCGCCAACTGGCTTGGTGTAATATGTGGGATGCATTATCATGAATAAGGTTGGTTAGGTTTCACAAAACCTAAATCATTTTTAGGCAATACATTTTCATTAACTGCTGGGTTGATTTTACTTAAAATTAAAAATTATGAATGATTTGATAGCCTAAGGTGGTAATTCATATGATGAAAGGGTACATTTCTGTAAAAGGGAAGATTCGTTATTATCAATGATTTTTTTCAATAGGTACATCAATATTTTATTTTTTAATCCAATATATCGATATCGACTGATTGAAACATCAGCTGACAACTACGATAAATACAAATATTGCAAAGTAAAAAAAAGATAGGTCTAATAACACAAAACATATATAAGCGCAAGTTTATATGTGTTATTAGACACATCTTTGAGTTACTTTCCGTCAATTTCAACCACATACAATGCTGATGAAGAAGTTTTTTAAATAAAAATTGTTCAGTATCAACAAACAATATAATAATTTGAGTAACAAAATGTTAATATGGAATTTACCGTCGAACAAAAATAGTGCCATTGGATTTTTTTATACCTAAAGGTTTATTACATAGTGAACGTCAATGTAGTAATGGTCATGATATATACCAGTAATATTATTTTGTTATTGTTTGCTATAAGTCTTTTACGATACAAAGTTTTGATTCATTAATGTATGTTAGGCCAATGTTTTTTTTTACAATTAACATAAAAAAAAAAAAACTTTCACTACTTGTATCAATAGCCAATATATAATTTAATAGGATCAATGGATACAATATTCTGCGTATGTAGTACTATTTGCTATTAACTTCAAAAGATCACAAAAGTGCTGTGAAAAAATGTGTAAGTAAAGGCCAGTTGTAAACAATTAAGGAGCTCGGCAAAAGTTCAATGTACCTAATAACAATTATATTTTTATTGTGTATTAGCTTATAGTTTTAACTAAGTTACAGCATTTTTCTTGTTGAATCAGACAATGAAACTCGTTTGGGTCAATCCATATCAAGTGGTCCAGAAATAAATTAATTGGTTGCTTCAAGATTTTTGATTTTTTTCATATTTTTATCCTTGAAAGTATATAGGCCTAGTATTAGAAGTACAAAAATACAGTTATTTTATTTTATTTTATTTTTCTACTGTATGGCGGCCATTTTTTTGTTACTCGAATGGCCGTTTTCAGCGATTTCAGAGCTCTGTGTAAAATTAAATATCTCTGGTTCTACTTATCCTAGAACATTAAAATAAAAACCAATCTCTTCAGAAAGATCTGAACTTTAATATGGTAATATATTGATGCACTTAAAACTAAATATATAGGTATAATTACCTGTTTAAAGTTTAACGCAACGATGTAACGAATACTGATTTTAAACAATTTATTTTTATATAAAGGCAATTGACTATGTGTTTGTTATTTTTTTATCTGATAGTTATAAGTGTGTACTCCAAATTCTCAAAGTTTCAAGTAGTGGACTTGTATAGGGTTTTAAATAAAAATTGTCAAAATCTTAAAATTTTCAAAATTTCAAAAGTTTGATGCTTAATATCTTTGTTGGGCATGAAAATAAAAATTTCAAATTTGGCTCAGATATAGTACTAAGTAAGAGTATTATGCTGTAATAATTTTATTTTGTGGACTCAACTGGTTTCAAAGATATGAAACATTGAAAAGTACTAAATAAGCATTATAGCCGTAATAGCGTAGGAAGCATAATGTTATATTATAACTCACTATCAATGTATTTTTTAACAATGTTATATTTTAATCATAGATTTTAAGCATTTTGATGTTTTAAAACACTCTTTGTTGTCTGCCACAGATACAAATCTGTAAGAGGATTGTGTTCAGGGAATTGGTAGACGTCCTTGAGTCAAAATTGAAGTTCTAATTTAATTTTTTTGCTAATTCTTTGCTGTCTACATAAAAGTATTGAATACCTTTAAGGGTTTGTTTTAACAAAAATTAAACATATCCTTATCATTCAAAATTTGGTTGTCTATGGCACATTGTAGACTCTATTAGTGACTTTGCTCTTGGTAGTGCCTCCTACAACATTGCAGGAATTTTTTCCTTGCGCAGTAGCAAAAAATGCCTCGCAGCTGGTATTGTAGTACCTGTGACTGAATATTTCAGTAAAAAATCATTTTATGATACTGTATAGCCACAGCCACCTTTAACTCCAGGCTGCGTAGAGTTTGCAAAGTCGCAAGTAGGGTTGTTTAGTGCCAGACGTCCCATAAGATAACATGTCAGACGTATAAGATATGTATAAGACATGTACCTATAAGAAAACATATTTTTAATTCAAATTTAGATTTATGAACAGAAACAAAAAGGATTAAAAATAAAACACATAGAATTGAAAACCAAAATAATATTATATAAAATCCATTCCTATACATTTAAAGTGGAGTCAATATTTTCCGATGGTGTAGGAGGCACTACAAAGAGCGATGTCATTAATAGAGTCTAAAATGTACCATAGATAACCAAATTTTGAATGCTAAGGATATGTTTTTGTTAAAACAAACCCTTAAAGGAATTCAATACTTTTATGTAGACAGCAAAGAATTAGCAAAAAAATTAAATTAGAACTTCAATTTTGACTCAAGGACGTCTACCAATTCCCTGAACACAATCCTCTCACAGATTTGTATCTGTGGCAGACAACAAAGAGTGTTTTAAAACATCAAAATGCTTAAAATCTATGATTAAAATATAAGATTGTTAAAAAATACATTGATAGTGAGTTATAATATAACATTATGCTTCCTACGCTATTACGGCTATAATGCTTATTTAGTACTTTTCAATGTTTCATAACTTTGAAACCAGTTGAGTCCACAAAATAAAATTATTACAGCATAATACTCTTACTTAGTACTATATCTGAGCCAAATTTGAAATTTTTATTTTCATGCCCAACAAAGATATTAAGCATCAAACTTTTGAAATTTTGAAAATTTTAAGATTTTGACAATTTTTATTTAAGACCCTATGCAAGTCCATAATTTGAAACTTTGAGAATTTGGAGTACACACCTTTAACTATCAGATAAAAAAATAACAAACACATAGTCAATTGCCTTTATATAAAAATAAATTGTTTAAAATCAGTATTTGTAACATCGTTGCGTTAAACTTTAAACAGGTAATTATACCTATATATTTAGTTTTAAGTGCATCAATATATTACCATATTAAAGTTCAGATCTTTCTGAAGAGATTGGTTTTTATTTTAATGTTCTAGGATTAGTAGAACCAGAGATATTTGATTTTACGCAGAGCTCTGAAATCGCTGAAAACGGCCGTTCAAGTAACAAAAAAATGGCCACCATACAGTAGAAAAATAAAATAAAAATAAAATAATTGTATTTTTGTACTTCTAATAATATATACTTTCAAGGATAAAAATATGAAAAAAATTAAAAATCTTGAAGCAACCACCTCTGGACCACTTGAAATGGATTGACCCGTTTTTGTAGGGAAAAGTCTTAAGTGTAAGATGAATTAAATAAAATGACCGATAAGGGCTACATGAAGCGTGGTAGAGCATATTACTCACTGAAAGAGTTCTTTGAGGACAACTTTAGCGACCTCGTCTAACCAACAAACCATTGACGCAATCAATCCAGCAACGCTGGTCAAAGATGAAGACTTCAAGTATCTGGTATTATAATCAAGCAGGTTGAACAAGACGCTTGGACAGGCTTTAGGAGAGGACAGGAGAAGTTAGCAGCGGGAATGGCAGAAATATGAGAGAAATAATGAGCAGAATAAAGAAAGAGGAAGCTAAAGCCGAGAGAAAAAAGAAACGAGAAGAAAAGAAGAAGAATGAAGATTCAGGCAGTAAACGTAGGGTAGTTAAAAAGAAACTGATCGACGGTGAGGATTGGGTGTGCTTTCCACAGGCATTATTCAGCAGAACTTATTTTTAAAAAATGGATATTGAATGTGGTTCCTGTCAAGTGTACATAGTGATCGAAAACATCGTGATAAATACGGAATCGAGGAAAAACTGGATTTTTTATGCCATCAATGTGTTTCCGACAGTGACGATGATCCGTCAGTACTTAGTGAAAGTGAAAAGGACCCTTACTGTCCAAACTAACTAGGCTTAGTTGATTTAAGTGTTTTTATTGTTATTTTCTCATTCCACGTTAATTTAAGAAAATGTCATTCACTAGATTTTTCAGTGTCAATAGGCCCTAACTAAAAAATAGTGTTATTCCCTGATCAACGTGACGTTTTTGTTTTATGTAATAATAAAACGTAACTTGGGCTACAGTACTTACTTTTGTCACTATAAAACATTTTGACTTTATGTTATTATTAATCACAATTCCATTCTAGAAAAGTAACTAAAATAAGTACTAGACAACTTACATCTTAATAGGACCTTTGGTTTTTAAGGACAAATTTTCAAACTCTAAACAAGTCTTAAAACTGTCATTGACTAGTATGTCTACCCAATGTTGGTTTAGTTAAAAATTCATACTTAATGTCCTTTATTTTAAAAACTAGTGCCCCTGTTGCTCGAATTCGAGCAATTTCTAAGTATTAGAGGTGTTATTTTAAAAGGAATAACATTCATAATTTCTGATGACTTTAAAAGATTCGACCCAAAGATTATGGAAATATTCCAGATGTACATAACAGAATATATAAATTTGTCCAGGCTCTCTCGCTTTTTTCCATTGTAATATTTACGCCAACCGGAATTCAAATAGTAAATATTTCATTTCAACCAAGTCAGTAAATGTTTGTAGCAAACTGTAAAATTAGCAAACTTATTGACTGTTTAAAATTAACATATGTTCTTCTTCTCACTTTTAATTTCTGACAACAGCTGGAGTTGCACAATAATTTTTGTTTCCCATGTTAATCTTATGGAGAAATACGAAACTTTAAAGGGTCCTAGGGCCTCACTCTCTGATTATTTCCCTAAAAAGAAAGTTTCCTGCACAACTTCACGTTACGCTCTTTCCAATGACACCAAAAACATGTAAATCGGTTCAGTAGTTTCGGAGGAGTAATTGTCACAAAAAACATGCTTGCGCATTAAATATATAGATTACAAAATACAATCAGTTATGTTAAAACTAAGTAAGGCATTTGGAATGCAAACGTTACCAATTGTCAAAGGCATCTGGAAATACAACTAATGGTTGATAAAAAATGCTTGCATACTCTGGATGGATTGTTGTAAGTGTATAATTTTATGGATATTACAATTCAATAAAACTCCAGCAACAAATGTAAATCAGCCTGGGCAATTGTAAAAGAAAATTCCCAATCTCTCGGAAGCGGTAATAGGCCTAAGCTTCCATTTCATCCAAATAAACTAAATAGTTTTTTTATTAACTCTGTTAACAGTATTAGAAACAGTATTAAGAAACCTGCAAATACTTATGATCATTTCTTACAAAAAGTTCCTTTCAACAATTCAGAGTTTCACTTTTCTTTGGTCACTTGTAGTGAGGTTATGTCAGTCATAACTAAAATGAAAAATACCAAATCCAAAGATATCTATGATATCTCCAACTGGTTCATTAAAGAAATTGTTGATGTAATAATTTCACCATTGACTTACTGTGTAAACGCCTGTCTACAGGGGGGATTCTTTCCTGATTGTCTCAAAATTTCCAAAATTTGTCCAATTTTCAAAAAAGGGGATAAAAACTGCCCAGGAAACTATCGGCCTATTAGTCTAGTACCTGTTCTGTCCAAGGTTCTAGAACATATTATTCACAATCAGATTAACAGCTTTTTTGAAAATAATTCTCTCTTTAACAAACAACAATTTGGCTTTAGAGTTGGACAGTCCACTGTGGATGCAATTGATGCCATGGTTCAGGACATTCACAGGGCTTTTGAAAATAAAGATTTTGCCTGGGCCACCTTCATTGATCTTAGCAAGGCCTTTGATTGTGTTGACTATGAGATCTTGCTTCATAAGTTGGAGTTTTATGGAATCAGAAACAGTGCTCTAAATCTTTTGTGGTCTTATTTAGCAAATCGTAGACAGGCGGTATACGCTGATGGTGAATGGTCCTCCATCGCCCTCAGCAACTGTGGGGTACCTCAAGGCTCCGTCTTAGGCCCCCTTCTGTTTTTAATTGCTATAAATGATCTGCCTATGAATCTTAGTTGCAATTCCTATCTCTATGCGGATGATACCACCTTGCTATCTTGTCACAGTGACCTTTTGCGTCTTAAGTCAACTGTCAGAAACACAGTCAATACTGCTGCTGAGTGGTTTTCAGCTAATAGTTTTCTTTTGAATAAAGACAAAACACAATCAGTCATATTTTGCCTTAGACCTCTACATGATATAGGCCCACTTGAAGCTGAACTGTCCAATGTGGTAAAGTTTCTAGGTGTCCATATTGACAAACAACTGACTTGGTCTGATCATATAACGCAACTCTGTACTAGGTTAAGTAGAATGATCTGCCTTTTTCGTAAGCTTAATGATTTAGTTCCTATTAGTTATTTAAGATCAGTTTACTTTGCTTTATTTCAGTCTGCCTTGAACTATGGTATCATTTTTTGGGGTAATAGTTCTCATGTCTCCAATGTCTTAAGGGGGTTCTACACCCTTAACCTTAATTTTTGGATTTTATTGATTTATCAATCAAATTTTTTTATTTTAGGTTTTGTTTTGATTTAACTTAAAGGAAAATAGTAAAAAAATACATACATACTGTTGTGGTACGTGGTAAATAATATTTATTTTAAAAAATTAACATTTTTTTGGTATTTTTCAAACTGATATATCTTTGAAAATACTTATGCTATTTTAATGATTGTAGTCTTGAATTGTAGGCCACATCTTTAGCTAAGAATTCACGCATGCCCATTTGGCTAAGGTCAAATTTGAACCTACAAGGAAAAAAACAAATTTTTAGCAAAATTTCATAAATTTCTAAAACATAAAAAATATTTTTTACAATAAATATAAAGTGTATTTGTTTAAAAATGCATGAGATTTTAGGTAATAGTATACAGAACAACCTCTGAAAATTTCAGTATCCTAGGTGAATTCGTTTTTGAGATTTATCAATTTATGTCTTTGAAAACATGGAAATTTCTAACTTGCGGCAAACAGCCGTCGAAGTGTAAGCTACGTTGCTAGATTAGAATGCATTTGATTTCACACTGAGTTGGCCAATACAGTAGTATATCATAATACTTTACTATAGCCTACTTTCATCCAGGGAATGGATTCTCTATTTGTTTTTTTCATAGGGTATATGAGTAATTATTTGGGCCTACATATGTTCGGAAAATACATATACCGGTAATAGGCACACTCAGCAACAAAAGTTGTTACAAATAATATGCTTACCTACTAAAATTTCCCAGGTCCATAGGATAGTCCCTCTTGCTCTATTCTTCTCTCTTCTTCTCTTATTTGAGCTATCCTCTTCTTTTTCAGGTACAACAGATATTTTTTGTTCTTCTTTTTCTGCGCATTCCTTAGCCTAATGACGTCCAGTCGGTTTGCAATTTTAGTTGTATTGATTCCTGGGCTTGAAGCAGTACTGGCAATTTGGTGCTCAAAAACACTTTTCAAATAACCTGTATTGTATTGACAAATACCTTCATATATCCTCATTGTTAGAGTGCTTTTGGAAACGAATACTGTCTTTGGACATTTAGACCACAGCAGACCATGCAACGCTTCATTCGCATTTTGTGTTTTTCCGTCAACACATCTTGACAGAAGGTAGTCTGAGGCTAATCTCTGGTATAGAGGCATAATCTTAGCTACAACATCTGGTCTTAGTGGAGTTGCTATTTTCCCATCATGAGGGGGAGGTTGCTCCTTCCTTGAAATTGCCCGTTGAAAAAAACACCACGAGTCTTCACCGTTTGGACACCGAGAATGCATTGGTTTTTCATCAGTCGATTGGCAATGGTCTAGGGTTGCATAAATAGCGTTCTTCATTCCAGCTACACTACCAAGATTGTTCTGTATCGCATTGCGATAATATCCTGTGAGTTTCGTTATGGTACTGTCCTTTAGACTGCCAAACTTTTTGCCCCCTATCGGAGCTTTAGCTTTCGTACTTTCAATTCTCACATTTCGAAGACCTGTACCTAACCTTTTTGCCACGTGGTTAATACATTCTACCTTTTCAATTTCTTTATCATAGATTTTGAGATCATTCAGATGTCCATGGGTTTTGGAATCACCATCAGAAATCATGCAGGTATACCGGAAGTTGTGCTGCAATGAACGTTGCCAAATTCTTTTCGCCGCCTCCGATTCCATCATGGGTGATGAGCCTTCAAAGTTACATTGGCATTGTTCTTTGTGGCTTTCTTTCCAAAGTTGAAATTGTTGTGGACTATCCTTCAACTTTTGTCCCATACTTTCACACAATCGACAATACTTTGAAATTACTTCTACATCTATAACTAATCCTGTTGTAAGTTCAATACAACAGCCTATGCCATACTTAGAAGTAAAACCCCTCTTGTGCCAGCTACCATCGTAGCTTACTGTAAGATCTAAAATAGTATTGTCGTCCAGCGAACAAAGATCAGTGTGGGCCTTACGAACTTCAATACGCGCCTGTTCCAAGTTCTTTTGAACGTTTCGTTCAGCAATTTTACATAGCACATTTTTTGTTTTGTTGTATGAATTAGGGTTCATGGCTTTCATGTTGAAGTACATACTAAACTGTTCTAGGCTTCTTGGCCCCCTCCCAATACTACTGAAAGCATGAACAACCCTTCGATTTATATCGTATGGAAGTACTTTTGATTTGACACCTGGAGATCGTGCAATACGTTGCGATGTCTCAAAAGGCTTGGAAAACTCACATTCAGAACAAATTATGGTAAATCTGTTATTATAACCTTGTACAGAATCATCAACAAGAGACAAGCAATTTACATCCAGGCAATTAGGGCAAGCAAACATACTGACTAGATTTACAAGATTGTCTTTGACTACAAAGATATATGAAACAGCACTTTCGTCGATCGGTATCTGTTCATTGTATGTTTTGTATAAAGCAAACCCTGTTTTATTTGGTTGGATTTCAGTTGTGTTTTCATCACCTGTAGCTGAAGAGGAAACAGATTCACTTGTATTAGACATAGGCCTAACCTCAACTGTGGACAAATTGTTTTCATTTGAAGTTTCACATTGAACATTACTGTTTTGGTTATTCGCCCACCTTGATAGAGCAGATTTTAAATTTCTTTTTGACATTGCTACCTTAGTCTTCTTTAGTCTTCCCATTTTATTTCACTATTTTCACACACAACACTCATAAACAAACACTTTATAAACAAACAGTTCACAACAACAGCAACCAGATGTAATCATCAATCAGCTGACTAAAATTCATAGGCTTTAGAATAAGTAAACCATAGAACACCAAAAGGAATAAAATCAACTAATGTCATTGTATATAAAATATAATAATAATGATTTGTCATTATTACTAAAATAAGCAATACAATAAATGTATATAAATAAAAATGTATGATATAAAAATTAAAAAATACATATCAAATTTACCAGAACCCAGCGCGACGCTCAAAAAAGTTGTACTGTCCGAATAAATATTTTTTTTCGCCGTGAAAATAAATAATAAATACATAAAACCATATATTTTCTTGTTTAGAAAAAAACAAAGAATTTAATTATGTAAAAAAAAAATTTTGTCAAATTTTGACATTCAAGGGTGTAGAACCCCCTTAATATTACAAAAAAAGGTCCTGCGCATAATGGCTAGGGTTGATCCTGAGGAACATTGTCGCCCCATTTTTATTGAATTTAATATTTTAACCGTTATTAATTTATATATATTTAATATCATGTTAACTAGTTTTAAGGAAATGGACTCACATGCCATAAGGAGTGATTTTCATGATTTTCAAACTAGAAACAGACATCAATTTGATATACCCCATGTTAGACTGAGCAAAACAAAGAAAAGTCATAAAATTCTGGGCCTAAAATGTCTAAATAAATTGCCCAACAAATTGCTATCACTTCCTTACAAAGTTTTTAAAGCTAAAATTCATATGTGGCTAGTAAAGAATCCGTTCTACAAACTTAATGATTTTTTAGAATTTCCTAAACCATTAAATATTGAGTAATGATTGTACTCTTTTTTCTATTATAGTTATCCTCATCTGCATGTATTTTATATTATCTTTGTATATTTTGATTTGACCTTGTACTCTACATCTATTGTACTCTTCCTTGACAAATGTTTACCAACATAATACCTTCATTGACCATTCCACATGCATTTGTAATGTCTATTGGAAAATAAAGCTTTGATTTGATTTGATTTGATTTGATTAATCAAGAAGGTTCAGTTCCGGAACATGAACAACAACTTTAAAGTTCTTCACTGCTTACCCTTATAAGATGAACCTCCACACTATTCTTTATTTCAAAACATGGGTACAGTTCCACAGAGAACCTGCGATATATTAACTTATCGGATTATGATTTGGTTCAATACCGCATCAAATTTAATTCTACAATTTAAAATTATATAAATAAAAACAATAAAAAAAATTAACTTAATAAAGTTGTTTAATTATTTAACCTTATTTTTATTCTAAACTCTTATGACTAGTTAAAAAGGGAAGACACTATAAATATCCACCCTTGAGAATTCCTCTACAGGCGTGTAGTTTTAAGTGCTAAGGTCAAGCGTTTTCTCCATTTCCTAAAGGTAGGCCTAAGGTAAACAACCCAAATACCGTGACTACACCAAACTCCGTGATTCTTGTTTTTTTCTCGCCAATAACAATATTGCTGGTCATAGACGTTTAAACTTCAAACAAGAAGTAAATTCAACTTTTGGAGCTTATTTTAAATGTCTTTGTCTGCTGATGCCATGTCGTCTGGCTCATTTAACAGTTTGAATGTTGACATTTCTTGAAACAGCTGTTTTTCTTAAGGTTCTTAGTGATTCAAACTACGAACTTTGGGGTGTGGAATAAGCTTTAGTTTAGTATATTTTTATATTACATAGGTAGACAAAAGACCTATATTTTGAATTAATGTTTTGTTATAAACCTATTTTAAGCCGGTTATTGAAATTATACTGTAAAAAACTACATCACTGAGATTAGCCACGTAAGATTACTATTTTCTAAATACCGTGACAGGATCACGGTGTTTAGAGTTCACATTATATTTTTTTAATGCAGAGGAAAATAATAATATTTTATAAAATAAGAATATTAAATACATTTCACTACTAAAGTCTGTTTTGTTTGTCCAGTAAATATGTACAACCAAAATAAATCAACCTCAATTCTTAGGCTAGGCCTATTTAACAGACATGTAATGTAAGCTGCAAACAGAATTAAAACACTTTTAGTTTAATTGTAAGTTCAGTAATATTTTTTAACTAAACTTATTTTTCTCTTAATAAAGTGGTGTGGACTACTATAGTTTTATGGGCATTTTATGAATTTTAATGCATTTAAATGTTGGAAAGTCACATCCACGGAAATTAATAAGCAGAGAACGATCGTTTTTTTTCCCAATACTGTGATCCTCTCGAGTTTATAGTTTTACTCTGTTGATTTTACGTTTTACTAAGAAATTTATATTTTAGCCTATTGTTTTGTTTCAGAATGCCAAGTGAGAAATTTTCTCCCTTAAACCAGAAACGGAACTATTCCCAAGATGCACTGGCAGGGCCATTCTTGCTGTGCTGGGGGCATAATGGTGACGGGGCTGGAATGCTACACCCCAATTCCCTCAACATGAGTCACATTCCATTGGTGACATACTAACAAATACTTAAGATAAATTGAAAATAAAATAGCCTATGTCCAACATACCAGAGCTCACACCCCAATTCCATCCTACATGAGTCACTGGTGGCTATGCAATTTAGGATGTTTAATACTTTCTATAGTGGAGTGTATCATATGTATTTTCTTGTTAAATATTTTTAAATTATTCATCCAATATAGTTTGGTCTTGTCCGTGATTTGTTTGGTTAATGTTTAGTTAAGTTACCAAGATATTGTAAACTTCCCAATAACTAAATTCTTTTTTTCACTTGCTTATTGTGTTTTGTTCGGTATCGATATATTGAAAAGAAATCATCGATAATAAGTTCCCCTTAACAGGAAAGTACCGCAAAATCAAGAGAACCTTTCTTAAGGTCACGGTATTTGGGCAGTTTACCTTAATTAAGAAATTATAGGCTTCCCTGGACCGTGGGATTTTAGTTTGGTTTGTTTTTGTTCGTTTCTAATTTGTTTAGGCCTATTCTTAAAAAATTGCTGTTTTATCTTAGTAAGTTAATTGTTCGGTAAGATGTGTACCCAAACTTTAACTAAATAACTTTTTAAAAACCTAAACATCAATAAAAATGTTGACAGAGCAAAACTCAATCTGATTTTTAAACATCAGTAAAGGTTAATTTATAGACCTACGGTAGGCCTTATATTGAATCAAATTAAATATTAATGTGGCTTACTTATATGGGGGTACAGTTTCTTAACTGGGCTATGCTAATATTGATTGGAATTATAGAATTGAAAATATTGATTAATAATCTATATTTTTAAATATATCTATTATAAATAAAACTATCATAACCTAACCTAACCAACCAAACTTGCTGATGGTGAAAAAATCGCATGAAGGATTACTAATCGAATCAATAGTTTCAATCAATATTAGCATAGCCCAGTTAAGAAACTGTACCCTTAATATGGTTCTCTGCAGAACTGTATTAGGGCCTACCCCAAAACGTTAGTGTCGTTTGAAGTAAAAAAATCCACTAAGTTAGGCCTACACAACAGGTGAAGTAATATCTACCTAGTCCTACTTAACTTATATTGGCTTAGCAATCCCCAAAATATAAGCTACCATGTAAAAGGTTAGCATTCAACTTTTGCCTAGGCCTAAGTTAATTAGTGTTTGTGATTATCGATGCAATTAGCATTTAAAAACTTATTTCATGAGAGACCTACGGTAACCTTTTCAGGAAGTTATGGAATTATAAAGTATTGCTGGGTCAGCAATTGAAAAAATATTAAATGAATCGTGAAACTATCAATTCACTTTTCTTCACGTTTGAAGATTGACGTTTGTGAGCAGAACGTTAGTGAGGCTAGCCTTGTCGAGAAAGGACAAACACTGTTGAATGTTATTTCGAAATGCACTGATCGAACAAATCAATTGTTTTGGTTTGATTCACTTTATTAAATTTCATTACAAATGACATATTGCACAATATCAAATGTTATATCAGTAAACGTTGCACAACTGTTACCAAAGAATCAAGGAAGAGAAAACGTACCTGATTTTCCTTTACGTTTCCCTTTAGGCATGATCCAATTATGTTAAAATTTATCTAAAATTTCACTTAATCAAGAAGTTAAAATATTGCCTATATATATTCTGTTTCGTATACTTAAAACTCCGGAGTGTAAATGAAAATTTAGTGAAAAGTACATAAATGTCATGGTCTACTCAGAGCCAAAGCATGCGAAATGCACCCTGTTCGTTGGCGGGGGCTATCATCCAGTCCAGTCGATTTTAGAGCTGTCAGCATTGTCTGCAGACAGTTAGGAGAGCACATGACCTTGCCACATGACCAAGACTATAATCCTTGGACTAGTTAATGACGTACTGTTCAATGTTACTAGATTGTATGCGATTATAGGAAGTTTAAGCTTAGAGTTGTTTACGATAACATTAAAAATTTTTCATTACACTCCTAGGCAAATAAAATACTCCCGCCACAGCAAACCTGCAGACTAAGCGAATTTCAACTTGTCTGATTACATTTTTACTAAAATACCAATTTCCACAAATAAGACAAATTTAATTCCCAATTTAAATAACATTAGATTTAACAAGTGCTTAGGTTTGCTGCTACGGGGAAGCTAAAAAGTGTTTTTTGACCAAACGTCAATAGTATGGAATAAAATAAATAACTTTGCTAAATGTTATCAACATATATCCACAAACAAGTAAACTACAAAAGTTTTCATTTTCTCCATAAGAGTAACATGGGAATTTTAAATTTACACTTTTTTTTTAATTTTCTCCGTAATCATTAGGCATACAACAATGCTTCAATGTACCAAATTATTTCTTTTTTTAAGTTCTTCAAAATGGTTGGAAAAGAAATTCCAAAATTAAACCCCGTTCGAGTTATCGTGCTAACGGACACACACACACACACACACACACACATATATATATATATATATATGTATATGTATATATATTATTTAAAATATATGAATTTAAACGGATAGTGTTTTTGCCCTCTGGAGACCTCAAAATGAAAAAGTAAATCAGTCCCGGGTCCAGGTCTTACCATGAGACCTACTGTAATCTAGCTTATTCCCTATGGGAAATTCGCTAAAAATAATTGAACTATAGCCTAAAATATGAAACACTAGGCCTATGTATAGTATAAAATTTGTATTGTAAAGGCACGTTTGTGACACTGCAGTTTCTAACTAAAAAGGTTGCAACTTAAGAAGAAAAGTTTTCATTTAAAAAAATACGAATTGTAGTTTTGTTGCAAACTTAACAAGTTTTAAACAAAATCCTCATGTTTCAAACCATATTTCATGTTTCAACTAGTTGTCGCCGAAATTATGGAAATTTTCTTTGATCTTTGTTTGCAACAACAAAGTTTCAAACTTTTCTCTTTGAAATTGTTTTAAACATTCTCGTGCTCAAATACTTGTAAAGTCAATGCCAGCTTTTCTTTTACAGGTATAGGGCCAAATTTGCCAATTCGTATCAGCCGTAGCATTCTTTGGTCCTACAAGTACAAGACAACATACATAATATACAACATATGAAGGAAGCATCAGCCGTTCAAAATCAATCACTGAGTCCTCAATTCTCCTGACAGAGGATCCACATCATCCTTCAGATCTTCTATTAGTGCTTAGCCAATATAGATGAAATACCCCCGCAGCAGCAAACCTGCAGACTAAGCGAATTTCCATTAACCTGATTGGATTTACACTAAAATTCCTCCCTAAAAATAGCACATTTATTTCCTATTTAAATAGAATTAGTTTAACGAGTACTTACCCAGACAGCACACTTTCTCCTCAGGACATCCCACGGATATTGCGACAGGATATGCAAGATATCCCATAGTGGTCCTATGGTCAACTTGGGATATCACAGGATATCCACAGGAATGCCTAATGTCCCCGCCCGGGGATGTCCTACGGATAAGCTCACACGCATATCCGTGAGACATCCGAGGTCATCCCAGGGTAGTCCTCAGGACATTCTCAGGACATATGGGACTACTATGGGATGTCCCTGGGATAAAGTGTGGTCTGGGCCTGAACATAAAAAACACAAAATAATATAGATTTTGTATGAAAAGCTTAATTATAAGTTTAGTAAATTGATTAAATAGTTAATAAACACAAATTTTGAAGAAAAAAACGAGAAAAAAGTTTTTGGCCCAGACGGGTTTCGAACCTGGTACCTTCGCCTTGTGAGCCTCTTACCTTACCTCCTGAGCTATCTGCGCTTGTTGATTATGGATGTTTTCAAGTGGTTAAAGAGTAGCCGACAGTTGCAATGGTCGCAATACTTAAAATATTTTTGATACTACAGTATAGGCTATATATGATTCTGTTAATCTGTTTAGACCTCAAGTAGTTGAATTGTTTTTCTGGTAGTTGGAGAGGATACTGGTATTTGAATATAGATTATTTAATCACCATTAGATTAGCACTGTAATAATTGATTGTTATATGATTAAAATTAGTTTTTTGTTGTTTTATTAATTTAAAGTTAGAATTAAATTCACATTTCACACAACTATGATAGAACTCTAGTTTTCCTGAACTCAGTGGTAGTAATATGTCAGTAAAGTAAAGTCAACCCTTGCTAGCCATAGTATTAACAAGACATATTTTCAATCTGGGAAACCTTAAACTTTTAAAATAAATTATAAAACCTCAACATCTTAATGCGTGGGAATCTTATTTTTAGAAAAAAAAAAACAGACCAAAATTATTTGTTAAATAATGAAGACGGCCCAATTATAAATTCGGAATTACTGAAAATAATTACATCAAGAACAACACTGTAACATATCCAAAATTCAAAAGATTAATTTTTCTAATATTATTTTTTATTTTTCCAATATCCTTTAAATCATCTGTTTTAACTTTGTTTAAAATTAATTTATTAAGTAAATATTTACTTTCTGTACTAGTGTAAACACAGCCTGAAGATGGAAACCAAGTTTCTGAAAGCACTAGTGAAAAAAGCAAATTATTATATATTGGCCTTGTTCTTGTTGAACATTTAAATTTAGATATACTGTACATTTCATCAGTAATAGTATTTTTTTTTCTTCAGTTTGTTACTGGGACATTACGGGACATTACAGGATATCCAGTGGATTTTGTACATGTCCCGGGATGTCATGGGACATTCTGGGATATCCTATGGCATTCGTACATATCCCGGGACTTTACAGGATATCCTGAGGTTAACTTACAAATCCCGGGACATTACGGTATATTGTAGGATATCCTGTGGATTTCGTACTCGTCCCGGGATTTTGCGGGATATCCTGAGGATAGCGCACATATCCCGAGACATTCTCAGGACATATGGGACTACTATGGGATGTCCTGGGATAAAGTGTGCTGTCTGGGTAGGTTTGCTGCAACAGGGAGGGTAAAAAAGATTTTTTTTATAAAATGATAATAGTTTAGTAAGAAATCAAAGTATTTTCCAAAATCGATCAAAATATGTTCATAAACAAGCAAACTACAACAGTTGACGTATTCTCCATAAGAATAACATGGGAATTTTAAAATTACAATTTTTTTGAATTTTCTCCGTAACAATTAGGCGCATAATAACGCTTCAATATACTAAATTATTTGTTTTTTTAAGCTCTACAAAATGGTTTGAAAAGAAATTGTGAAATTTTGTGTTTTTAGGGTCAAAAATGGGAAAAGCCTATTTTTACCCCATAAAACCCCCCATAAACACCCGTTCCCATAGTCCGATCATGCTGGTTCGCGAACTCATTCAAGTTTATCCCGCCTTAACCTTCAAACCAAATTTTATCAAAATCGGACAAAAATTACTCAAGTTATCGTGCGGATGGACACACACACACATATATATATAATATATATGTATATATATAATATATATGTATATATATAATATATATATATATGTATATGTATATATGTATATATATATGTATATATATATATGTGTATATATATTTTTATATATCTATATATAGATATATAAAAATTTGAACGAATGGTGTTTTTGGCCTCTGGGGACATCAAAATGAAAAAGTAAATCGGTCCCGGGCTTAGGTCTTACCATGAGACCTACGGTAATAGCTACTTCCCTATAGGGAAAGGGATCATCTCATAACTCCAAGATTTCATAACTCCAAGTGATCATAACTCCAAAGTTTCATAAGTCCAAGAGATCATAACTCCAAATTATATTTAATCCAAAGTTTCAAAACTACAAGTACCCGAAAAGGGATAATTTCATTACTCCAAGAAAAATATAAGTGCAAGTGATCATTACTCCAAAGTTTCATAAGTCCAAGATATCATAACTCCAAAGTTTCATAAGTCCAAGTAAAAATTAAAGCAGAGTGTCATAACTCCAAAAGTTGAGTCGAGTCTCATATCTCCAAGTGGAATGTGTAGTACAGTCAGCGCCACAAGTTCCTGCGCTGTCCGCTCCGTTGTAATACTGTCAGCAGCCTAAAGCATTATATTATATTATTATATTATATTATAATTATATTATAATTATTATTATATTATTATATTATTATATTATATTATTATTATATTATTATCAACATTATATAAAGCATAATATTGATAAACCTAAAGCATTCGGGCCGGTTTTCTCCTTCTCAAAATGCCTCGCTGTACAGGCAACACAGGTCATTTATAGAGGGCCAATTGAGAACGAAAAGTCGTTTTGGGGTAGTGTTAGGGGGCATTTGTAACCTAATAGTTGAGATTGTCCAGGGTCAGGTGCTGACTGTGATGAGTTAAGCCTAATACTCGCCACTGTTCTGTGAGCTGCGGTCGTTATCACGATTACGCCTCCTGTCTATATGTGTTGTTGTCGTCACGTCGGAGGCATATAAAAGAAAGGCAGAGGATACACGTCCGGTAACCGTACGTGGATTAGACGTCCGGCAATTACTGTCATAACCTAACCTAACCAACCAAACTTGCTGATAATGAAAAAATCTAATTAAGGTTAAATTCTTTCTCTATAAAAAAATTATAAATGCCAAAAATTCTAATAAAAGATGTACAGTTAAGAATAAATGGTATTCAATGCAAACTCTTCGACAAAAAGTTAAAGTCATCAATGAGATTCGAACCCTGGACCTCTTGCATATCAGCCGAGCACCTTATCCACTACACCACGACCACCGATGGCTGAACGTTGTATTGTTGTGGTAAAGGCGTTCCAGGCTCCCGCAACCCCATGACGTCATTGCCGTACGCCTTATCCAC